CATCCCATCTGTTGTGAAAGAATATAAAAATGACAAAAATTTAAAGAAGACATAGTGAGTGTTAAAGTAAAAAAGGAAAGGTCTTACTCAATGTATTACAGAAACCAGTTTGTCAATATAAAACAATATAGTATATTATGTTTCACATTTTGATAGTTGCTCTTACTCTAGTCGTTGAAATAAGTTTAATTTTTGTGATAAACATCTACAATGAAAACGTATTCCTACTTTTCCTTCAGTCTCATGTTTACAGTTTTGCCTTTTGAACCGGGATCTCAGCACCCTTCTAACTAGGATTATAATAATTTCCTTAGCAATTAGAACTGCTGTAATTAGTGCTTTGCCCATAACTGCTTCCAACAGCTACATGTTCAACCGCTTTGCATTATTAAAATAAGTACAAAAAGTTCAAAGAAAACCGGGAATGTTATGCACCGATAGTAAATATAAGACGATTTTTAAACTTTGGTTATATAAAAATATATACCTACCATTAGGAGATGTTTGCTTGGCCAAGAATGTATAATTGTAATAGATAATTAATTCCCACTGAAGAATGAGGTATCCGTCTGTGGCTGCTAATCGTGATTAAAGTGCTTCCACTTCATAAAACATGGCTTGAGCCAGAATCAAATAAATCAGGCCGGACCTAAACACTTAAAACCCAAACCACAGAGAAACAGCATCTCCCCACCAATTATTTCAGTGACCTACAGTTGCTAACAGGTTGTATGTCTGTGCATGTAGATCATATATCACATGAAACACCACTCCCCATCCCCACCCCGCGGGCAAGCCCACAGCCTCACGGGTAAGGTGCCAAGCGGGATTGTTTTTCCCTTCTCCATCTTTCTTAGAGCATCAGGTTTCGGCCGCCAGCATCGTCGCCCAGGTGAGGTCAGTGGTCAGAGACACCTGGCCCGCTTTTCCCCCCGCGGAATCGGTGCTGCGAGGCGGGGGTCCCCACCCGGGAGAGGAGGCTTTGGGCACCGACGCCCTGGCGAGGCGAGGCGTTCCCACTCCGCCCTGAACCACAGTTTTGCTCGGGTTTTGTTTCGACCGTGTCGATCTAGCATTTAGTCTGCCAGGAAGGCATCTCGTTAGGGAACGGCAATCAAATAAATTAAGCACGATGTAGAAAGGCGGCCAGCGGGAGAGCACCTGAGGCTGTGAGCATCTGCCCCTAGAGGAAGCGCCCGGGACCGGCCTCAGGCCGCGGCTTCTCCCGGGGGCACCGGGAGACGCACCGGCCGCGGAGGGGCCAGGCCTGTCCAAGCCGCCGCCTGAGGCCGGCCCACCGAGAGCGCCGGAACCGGGCGAGTCCCGGCGACCGGAGCGCGCGGCCCGCGCCCCCGCCCGCCGTTGCCATGGGAACCAGGTTTGGCCACCGCCGCCGCCCTGAGGGAGCCGCGGCCCAGAGCCCCGGACGCTCACCGCGCCGCCGCCGGAGCCGCGCCGCTCCTCGCCGCCGCGCCGAGCTCCTTCACGCACCCGCCCCAGCCGCCGCCCGCGAGCTCCCGCCCGCCGGCTCCCCCACTCGCCCGCTCACCGCGCCGGTGCGCCGAGGTGCCGGGCTCCGCGGCGGGAGATTTAAAGCCGCGCACCGCCCTGGAGAAGCGACGGGCATCGAGCCTCAGAGCAGCCGGGTGGCTGCGTGGAAGACCCGCTCGGCCTCGCCTCCCAGCCCCTGCCTTTCCCGCGCTGCTCTGCGCCCAAGTCGCCACTTAATGCTAGGGCTCGGCGCGTGAAAGCGTTCGCGCGGGGCTTTAAGCTCTCATTTTTAAAGGTTTAAAGAGGGACAACTGTAAATAACTGACTTCTTAGGCGGTATACGGAACTATAGTGCCGTGACAGTGAATGATAAACCAGTTTTCAAGAGTTAAAAAAAAAACCCCACAAATTCTGAACCTAAAAACCACAGAAAAGAAAACGAGGCAAAAGGAAAAGTGTTATCGGTAGAGAATAATAAACTCAAAGTGCTTTCCTTTTCAAGTTGACGCCCAAGTTCAATCTTCCTAGAAGTTTACAGTACACAAGTTCGTTGTATATATGACACATAAACTAGCAAGGAAAAAACAAAAGCTTACACTTGGGATAACTACTCTGTGGAATCATATGTGAGGTAAGAGTTTACATAAAAGGTTAATTACAAAGCAGTCGTTAAATGTTTTAAGTTTGAAAACAAAAAAAGAGTTACCTTTTCTATAAAAGGGCTGATTTGGACTAAAACTTTTCAGATGACTTAAGATTCTTACCCAACTATTTGAATTTCAAATAATGGGCAAATACTTGACATTACATACAATTTTTGCCACCACCCCCAAAAGTGTCAATAGCTTCGTTTGCTGTTAAAGTCGAAATCCTCAAAGGATTATGAGTTAGCAGGCAGTGGACATGGTTAATTGTGTTTCTCCGCATCTTTCCTAAGTCATATAGAGATGGGTAGGTGGGGTTCTAGTTTTTTTCTAAGGCTCCAGAGATTTCTAAACAGTCAGGAGTCCAGGGCAAGGAGTCAATGGCAGTCACTGCAATCTACTGAGCGAATCCAGCTGTCAACAAATCACCACGTGACCGAAATGAGAAGAACTCAAGCTGGAAGGAAACTCGTGTGGGAGAGGCCTCCTAGTACAGCCAGGGCAGGAGCGAGCTGCAGCCTCAGTGTTCACCACCTAGTGACGGAGTCCGCGGTGACGGAAGTGATGGCTGCAGTAGCTCCTGTAGGAAGACTGGAATACCCCCACCTCACCCCACCCCACCCCCAGCGGCTGGAAACGGACAAACCTGGGCGCCCTTTGCCCCAGGCAAGGTAGGAAAGCAACTAACGGACCTGGCTGAGAATGCCTTAGGTGACTCAGTGCCCTCTCTTCCCCTCTGGCTCCAGGGCTACCCCTTTCCCTAATTGACCCCATTTTAGAATCAGAAAGAAAAAAAAATTCCCCCTTCAAGACAAGGGGACTCACTATATAGATCAGGCTGGCCTCGAACTTACCGATATCCGCCTGCCACTGCCTTCCCAAGGCTTGGAATTAAAAGGAGCGGTTACTAAACAGGGCTTTTACATTTTGTTTGTAGGCACAGATTCAGCCAATCAGGGCCCTCCTGGCTCTATGGCAGTAGGGCTTCAGTTTGGCAGATTGCTCTTCAGAGAAGAGACCTGGCACAGCCAGCTCCTAGATGTTCCTGAAGAAAAGAATACTACTATCAAGGGCAAAGCTTGTTGGGAGCTTCGCCATGCTCCAGCCTCCAGGACTTGACCTGTAGCTGCTAAGAGGAGACAGGAAGCGACTCTCTTCCCTTCTCAGCTTCCAGAGTTCATATTTTGGTTGTAGATGAATATTCTGCAGTTGTCTGCAACCTCTGAAACGCGGCCAGCGACTTTTGATCCTAGACTCTGAGACCTGCCTTAATTTCATTAGTGACCTGCTGTCTGCAGACTCAATTACAAGGTTGGCACCCCAAAGCTTTCCTAGAGTGTTCAGCCAGCACTTGCAGCCTGCGCAGGGCACAGAGCAGAGCCAACCTCTCCAGTCGGCATTCTGCGGCCACAAAGTCTTAATTCCTACTTTCTGGTTTGAACTGTCCCAGCATGGCAAGAACCCATAGAACAGAATGCCTCAATATTATTTGGGATCCCTCCTAACCAGCTTTTTGGCTTAACACCTTGTGTAGGTGTTTTCTCAGAATTCAAACATGTGTTTCTGAAAGGCTCACAGGACTCAGGAGGCTCATGACAGACCCGAGGTTATAGAAGCAGGCAACAGTTTCATCGCAGACACTGCAGATGTGCAGGGAGCCCTAAGGATGAGCTTTTGGGAGTGAGTGGACTTTTAAGGGATTCAGCTATCATTGTGTCACCCACGATTCCAGAAAGTAAGTCTGATAAACTCATTGTTTCACTAACCCAGTGGAATCCTCCTTAGTCCACTGTCAGTGCCTTGTCTACAGTGAACGGATGTGTTGTCTCCCCAGGTCACATAGAGCATGTGCATTTATCTATCTACCAGTCTGGTCTTCCCATTAGATGCCTCACTGTTCCATCCCTATGTTGTTGTGCAGCCTTGTCTCCTAGCACGTTGCCTAACACAACAATAGGTCCCTAATCCATGTTTATTCTACCTATGAATGAACTAACAGACACCTAATGGTCAGCTGAGAATATTATATAGCTTTTCTTTTGCTTTTTTTTTTCTAAGACAAGGGTTCTGGATCTAGTTTTAAATTTAGGAAGTTGCTGGGTGGTACTGATAGTAGTCCATCTTGATCCTGATCTTGAACTAGTTATGAAGCAAATTCATGACTTTCACTTAAGAGTGGGGGTTACAAGTATGTGCTATGATATCTGGCTCCTATTATTAGTCTTTCTTTTATTTTTCCTCTTTTTTCGAAATAAGGTTTCTCTGTGTAGCCCTGGCTGTCCCGAAACTCACTCTGCAGACCAGGCTAACCTCAAACTCAGAAATCCACCTGCCTCTGCCTCCGAAGTGCCAGGATTAAAGGAATGTACCAAGCTGGGTGGTGGTGCATACCTTTAATCCCAGCACTGGGGAGGCAGAAGCAGGCGGATCTCTGTGAGTTCAAGGCCAGCCTGGTCTACGAGAGCTAGTTCCAGGATAGCCTCCAAAGCCACAGAGAAACCCTGTCTTGGAAAAAAAAAAGTTGCTTCCTGTTCCTGCGTTGACAATGGTAGTGGATTAGCCACTGACTTCTTTCTTTTTGAGACAGTCCATGTAATCCCTGCTACCTTGGAGTTTACTATACAGTAGGGGATTACTATACAGTAGGGATGACCTTGAATCTCTGATTTTCTTGCTGCTAACCTCCCAGGTCCTGGGATTACAGGAATGTAACACCACACTGACTTTCTTTTGAAAGAGACAGTACTCAGGGCTTTGGACATTTTAGGCAAGCCCTCTCCCAACTAAGCCCTCTACAATTGCATTCACATTGTTTACTACACACAGTAAGACAATAAAAAAACAACAAAACCCAACAAGAAAGTCTTTGATCAATTATTCATTTTCAAGCCCCTACATGGGAGGTAGTAGGTGAATATCTGTAGGAATACAATTTGTTGTCTGCTCCTCCACTCAGAAGTAGCTGTGTAAAAAGAGAGAGAAAAGTAAATACAAATATACAGTAGCTAGACATGATTAAATATGACTTTGATTTTGTTTGGTTATTCGAGACAGGGTTTCTCTGTGTACCTCCAGCTGTTCTTGAACTCCCTCGGTAGACCAGGCTGGCTTTGAACTTACAGAGATCTGCCTGCCTCTGCCTCCCCAGTGCTGGGATTAAAGGTGTGCGCCACCATTGCCTGGTAAGTTATTGTTCACACAGTATGCATATCCTGTACTTTATAGATACCTCTTTGCTTCTACCATGATGTCATATACATAGCCCCAATCCAAAGATCTGCAATGTAGGGTGGATGTGGAGCTCACAGTTGGAGCTCATGCTGAGCACACATAAGGCTCTGGGCCAATTTTAATGATGTAAAGATGTGTTGTTTTGCCTGCCTAAAGTGCCTGATTGGTCTAATAAAAAGCTTGAATGGCCAATAGCTAGGCATTAGAAACAAAGAAGAAGTTCCCATTTCAATTTGGGTCCTACTCTAAGATATCTCATAAATGTGCAAATATTCCAAAGTCTGAAATGCATTTCAGAGAAGGGATGCTCCATCTGCATCACTATACAGTATACAAAACATTAAAAGCAGTCAGTCATTTTGCTTGAGACATAGTATGCTAGTGTACTTCCAACAAAGTATTTGCCAAAGTATATAATAAACTAAAATAGTTTTATCCTCTTAAAAAACAAAGGCTTCATTTGACTTTTGAAAATAGTTTTTACACTAAGCTGAACTCAAATTTGGAGCAATCTTCCTGCTTCAGCCTCCCTAGAATTGGGATAATGGGTGTGAGCTACCACACTCAGAAATATACCAAGTTTTTAAAAGAGCGTATTTGCTGCAAATATACACGGCAAATTATGTCATATAGCTCTAGGACATAATCCTGAAAGAATTCAGCAACAAGAGCTTATATATGCACATAAAGTGATTATAATTTTTTTTTTTTTGGTTTTCCGAGACAGGGTTTCTCTGTATTTTTCTGGAGGCTGTCAATCCAGCCTGGCCTCGAACTCACAGAGATCCGCCTGCCTCTGCCTCCCGAGTGCTGGGATTAAAGGCGTGCGTCACCACCGCTCGGCTAAATGATTATAATTTTAAAGTACATTTTGTAATCCATAGTTATTATGTAAAATAATTTATATAATCCTAGCACTCAGGAGGCTGAGGGAGGGAGTTGCTGTGAGATGAGACCAGCCAGGGCTACACAGCAAGACCTGGTCTCACAAAAAAAAAAAAAAAAAAAAAACCTTCTAAAACAGGCATTTTAAACAAGAAATACTGTGATACCATCAATCTGAAGTAGTGAACTTATGAACCAGACGGGATTTGTAAACAATGTCTCATTAAGATATTCGTGATGTACCTGGACCAACACAGGTCTCTAACACCAGCTACTAAGAAGGCTGCGACAGCAAATTACAAGTTTAAGGTCTGCCTGTGCTGGAATAAATTCCAAGCTAGCCTGGGCAACTTTTGACATCCTATCTCAAAATAAGAAAAAGGGCTAGTGTGCTGGTTCATGCCTATAACCCCAGCATTTGAGAAGTGGATACAGGAGAATCAGTTCAAGGTTATCTTCAGCTATACAATAAACTCAAAGACAGCCTGGCCCCATAAGACCCTGTATCAAAAAGAGGAAAGGAAAAATCAAAACAAAACAAAACAAAAAAAACAGGACTAGGTATATAGCCAAGTAGTAGACTACTTGCCTAGCATAATGAGAAGCTTGGGGTTCAGTTCCCAGGACCAAAAGAAGTAAAATGATATTGGGGGGAGAGACCTATTTTAAAATTTTCAACTTTTATTACTCTTAAAGAACAAATCTGTTTTTAGGTTTTTGGTATGGGATGTAAAAATTATAAAAATCAGAAATATTAAAACTGCTAACTTTAAACTGGGCAGTGGTAACACATGCCTTTAATTCCAGCACTCAGGAAGGAGGCAGAGACAGGCAGATCTCTGAGATTGAAGACAACAGGGTCTACACTGAGTTCCAGACAGCCAGAGGAAAAACCAAACCAAACAAAAAGATCCTGTAACTTTAAACATCAGGTCTATCCTCTCTTTTTTTCACTAAGTAATTTGTAAATCCTTACCCCCGTGTCTGTCCAGTCCACAGTTAGAACTTTGTCTTCATGAGCAGCTAGGTCATAGAGAGGAGCCTTAGAACTAAAGATGAAAACACACGTTAAATGCATCAGTGTTTTAATACACACGCGAGTAATTACTAATACTTTCTCAAAACTTTGCTGGACTTTACTGCAGATGTCTTATAACAAGCATGCAAAAAAAATGCCATTCAGATGCAAAAACAATCACAATAAGGCCCGTTTCACACTTCTACACTTTAAATTTCTATCCCAAACTTTTCCTTTGAGTTTGATGTGTCTACTATCTAAATACATGAAAGTCAGTGGGCAACAGACACAATCAAATCAAAACTCTCGCATTTCTTTCATAATCCGATTTTCTTAAATTATAAAACAAATATTTTTATTTTGTGTATGGGTGTTTGCCTGTGTATATGTCTGTGCACCATATATCCAGACTTGGAGTCCCCTGGGACTGGATGGTGTGGGCCACCATGTGGGTGCTGGGAGTTGAATCCAGGTCTTCTGCGAGAGCAGCCATTACTCTTAACCACTGAGTCATTTCTCCAGTGCCTTTTTCTTATCTCACTACATAGCAAACATGGGCAATTTTCTTTGATTCCCATCTTCACATTTAATCCATAAGAAATTATCTTGCCAAAGACCTAAATTCAAGATATATCTAGAACAAAATCACTTATCCCTGATGCTACCACCACATTCTATGCTCCCTGAGCTGTCCTTGAATAACAATGGTCTTTCAGCTTCTATTCTTGGTCCCTGTATCAAACAAACCCTCAGTCTTGCCAAGTCCTGCTCGACATGTACACACCTTCAAAATGTGCAAAATGTGTAATTTCTTCAAAGAGAAAGTCTTGCCAAAGTGCAGCTGTACTCTCTTCTGCTTTGTTCATAATACTTATTGCTACGACCAGAAACTACATTAACTGTCATAAAAATGTCAATTAAGACATCTAAACCCTAAGATAAAGTGCTTGGGGGGCAGATTTAAGGTAAAAAGTACACAAATGGGTACGCAGTTAAAGTTGCCTCTTCTAACTCTTAAGTTATGGGTACATTTTAACCTAGATATTCTGTATATACTAGTACCACAGTATTAGCCTATGAATAAGATTCCTCTGGCATCTAGTTATTTTTAAAGATACATATTTTATTATATCTTTCATAATAGAATTTCTATTGAAGTTCTAGATAATTAAAACTTTTTCTCTTGCTTTATAAAAAAAAGTCAGAAAGATAGATTTCAGAAGCTGTAGCTTTATTTTTAAAACAAGGGTAAAAATATGCAGTGATATTTTATCTATGATCTAACAAATAAAGCTTGCCTGAAGATCAGAATGCAAAGCTAGCCACACTAGTTAGCCAGAGAGGCCAGGCAGTGGTGGCTCACACCCTTAGTCCCAGAAGCCACTCAAGTTTGCCATAGAAGCTGGGCGGTGGTGGTACACACCTTTAGTCCTAGCACTAATCTGTATTCAGGCTGAGGACAGGATCACCCCAGCCTTGGTAGAGGTGAGAATTTTCTAGTGGCTGGCTGCTTTGCTTTTCTGATCTTCAGCTTGAACTCCATTATCTATCTCTGGGTTTTTATTGATTGTGCTATGAAAATAAGGACCAAAAACATACTAATATTAATATGAATAAAATGCCTTTGTTCCTGGGCTTTGTAAGTACATCTGTGTGCACATTCATGTGTGTGCATGTGTATACAGAATCACATGTATTCAGGTAAGAGGACAACCCTGGGTTTATTCCTCAGGTGCTGTCCACCTGTTTTCTTTTGAGACAAGGTGTCTCACTAGCCTGAGATTCACTAAGTAAGCTAGGTTAGTAGCTAGCAGTTTCCAGGTATTCCCATGTCTTGTCTCCGCAGTGCTAAGATCACTAGCACACCTACCATTCACTATTTATTTGGGTTCCGGGTCCTCATTCATGCAAAGCAAACACTTTACTTACTGAGCTATGCCTGCAGCCCAATCCTGGGATTTTTTGTGAGTATTAGTATTTGTCCTGTCAGGTAGTGAATGAAACCTGGGTCTTCTGGAAGAACAGCAAGTGCTCTTAACAGTTAAACCATGGTTCTAGTACCAACATTTACCTTCTTGTATCCCACAGCTTGACAATGTTATCTAAAGAGCCTGAAATCAGCTGCTGTTCATGGGTAGGAGACCACTTTACTGATGTAACCCAGCCTGTATGTGAGGTGAGTGACAGCGACACCAAAGAACCATCTGAATGAAAAGAAAATGCAATAGATTTTAGGAAAGAGAAACAGAAGAATATTTGAAGAAACTTATCTTTTTAAATTTTTTCTAATATTCCCCACTGGATACAACATACCTTTACTTCGGGGATCCCACAGTCTAATGTGCCTATCTGTGCTTCCAGATGCCAAACGTTTACAAAGGGGAGAATAGGAAATACAATTAAACACTTTATTTCCTGTCTGAAAATAAAAAGAAAGAACAATTAAGCACAGAGGGCTGAAAGTAACCACCTTTAGAAATTTGTTACTGAAAAGACCAATGGTAATCAGAGGAACACCAAAATTCAGTCTTACCAAAGTTGACTTAAGACCACCAGACTCAGCATCCCACACTCTAATTGTGTGATCCCAAGATGCACTGCAGATTTCTTCAGTATCTGACCAAAGTACTGAGGAAATTGCTTCTGTGTGGCCAGAGAGGGTCACCAAAGGAGTCTAGAAATGAAAGGTCCCCAAAAGGGAAAATCATTTCATCACAGAGTTATTGAAACAAGAGAAGATTTTAGGGTCAGGTGTGGTGGTGCTCAGCTTTATTCCAGCACTCAGGAGGCAGGGGCAGGCAGATCTCTGAGTTCCAGGCCAGCCAGGGATACATAATGTCCAAAGTGCCAGGTTTTTTGCCCAGTGGATTATTTTGTTTTTATAGTAATCCTCCAAGACAGATATCTGTCTTTATTTTAAGATATGAAGGGGCTCAGTAGATAAGTGTCAGCTGTCAAGGCTGACTGGTCTATGTTTAATCAAGGACCCCTTGTATATCACGTGCATGCCTGATGCAAGAGAAGGCCAGAAGAATGATCAGAGCCTCTGGATCTGGAGTTACAGGAAATTATGAGCTGCCATTTGGGACTGAGAAATGAACCTGGGTCCTCTGGAAGAGCAGCTAGTGTTCTTAACTGCTGAGCCATTTCTCCAGGCCCACCTTATTTTCAGCAGTTTTTATATTCATGTCAGCATGTTGTATTATAATATTTATGCATTTATACACATATAGGTAACAGTACCAAAGAAACAAAACAGAGGCCAGGTTTTTTGGGGGGATATATACATGAAGGGAGCTGGAGGTTGGACAGGGAAGGGAGAAAATAATGTGATTATATTTTAATTAAGAAAAAAAAAACAAACTTACCCTTGTTAGTCCCAATTGCTCTGTTTTCTGCTTCTTTCTTGGCCGATTTGTGGATTCTTCCATTTCATCTTCTTCATCTGTAGGGACTGCAAATATTTGATATTGAAAAACTTAGTCAATAGCAAACTGCAAGAAATGTCCTATATTCTGGGTATACAGTTTTCTCCCTTTTTTCACTTATTAGGGAATGTATATTCCTTGTTGTTTTGGTTATCATAAAACTGTATATAAGCATCTTATCTGACGCCTGGAGGACTGTAATCCAGTGGTAAAGCGCCTGACCAACATGCATATGGTACTAGACTCAACCTTTAGTAGCACCAAAAGCAAAAACATTTCCTGGACAGGCAAACATGGACAAGGACTTTTTAAAAGGCATACTTTAAAAAAAAAAAAAAAACTTAAAATCAAGCAGTTGGAAATCTTACTCTGTTTTTATGGTCATTGTTATAAATATTGACCATTTCATCATAATTATGAAAAGTTGCTTCTAGCTTAATCCAGACTATGACCATACTGTATGCCATGCAGGAAAAAAGGAAAGCTCAGGTTAAAAGATGTACTACAGCCATGTTTAATCGCATTATTTCCTTTTATAAAAAAGAAAACCCCTTCACAGTTGCTTTGTGGTGCTAGAGATCAAAGCCACATCCAGGCAAATACTTATCACTGAGTTTTACTTCCAGGTCCTTGGATGTTTTTTCTTTTTCTTTTTTTTGGTTTTTCGATACAGGTTTCTCTGTATTGTTTTGGAGGCTGTCCTGGAACTCGCTCTGTAGACCAGGCTGGCCTCAAACTAACAGAGATCCGCCTACCTCTGCTTCCTGAATGCTGGGATTAAAGGCGTGCACCACCAACGCCAGGCTGTTTTTTCTTTTTTTTTTTAGTTTGAAAATATCTCTATTATAAACATCATTTAGTTAGGCTAAGACTGAAACTATAGATTTTAGTGTTTTGTACCTTTCATGAATATTGACATACTTTTTCCTAACTAGATTATAAATCTCTTAACAGTAATAGTTGGTACCAAACAGTATCTCATTTACCTGATACTATCAAAGAATAAGACATTTCACAAAAGCAAAACAATTGAAACTTAACTACTTTCTTCTTCAAAAATTGTTTTGCTTTAAGCATTTTTATAACATCTACAAATATGTATATTTTCTGATGTATTACTACACTTGATCTTAGCCAAAAGGCCGGGAAGCGATTTTCTGATGTATTACACACAATTACTTAAAGTTGCTCAAACTGGTTCTGAGCCCCTTAACTCCTTTTTTTTTCCTTTTATGGTTTTTGAGACAGGGTTTCTCTGTATTGTTTTGGAGGCTGTCCTGGAACTGTCTCTGTAGACCTGGCTGGCCCTGAACTCACAGAGATCCGCCTGCCTCTGCCTCTGCCTCCCGAGGCATGCGCACCAATGCCTGGCCCATTAACTACTTTGTTAGCTTTAATTGGAGTCTAAACTGTAAACAGCAATTCCATCAGAAGTAATGGGGTCTTCTGAACTTTTTATATATGTAGAAACAGTTCCAGCTGCTAGGTTTCAAAATTTAAGAATTTGTGTGGGATCCCCTCTTCTTCTGTTCCCATCAGTATTTTTTAACTTCTCTCAAGAATGTGTCCTCTCCTTCACTGTGTTTTTAATCTATTTTCAAAGTCAGCTAGGTATGGTGGTGAATGACTATAATCCCAACATTTGGTATGCAGAGGCAGGAGCACCACAAGTTTGAAGCCAGGCTGGTCTATACAGCCAATGCCAGGCCAGGCTTTAAGACAGTGAGGGATATATAAAAAGACACTGCCTCAAAAAATTGGCTTAAACAGATTTTTATGTGTATGGTGTTTTGCCTACATTTATGTGTATGTGCCACGTGTGCCTGGTGCCCAGGAGCCAAAAGGTGTCAGATTGCCCGAAACTGTAGTCGAGGACAGCTGTGAGCTGCTATTTGAGTGCCTGAACTAACCTGGTCCTCTGCAAAAGCAGCAAGTACTCTTAATCACTGAGCATCTCTCCAGACACTCAAAGCTCTTTTTAAGCGACTTAAAATAAGTCAAAATTATTCAAAAAACCATTTCCAGGCCTTTAAATTAAATGCATTCGGGGATCTAAGACAATTTGTTATATATGTATCAAATCAGCAACTATTACATAAAGAGGTGGTAGGGTTAAAACAAGAACCAAAAATCTTAAAACAGAAATATACTAATAATGGTCTTTTTGTTGTTTTTGAGACAGGGTTTCTCTGTGGCTTTGGAGGCTGTTCTGGAAATAGCTCTTCTGGACCAGGCTGGTCTCGAACTCAGAGATCCGCCTTCCTCTGTCTCCCAAGTGCTGGGATTAAAGGCATGCGCCACCACCGCCCCTCCACACTCACATTGGCCTATTTTTACAGCAAATATGAGAAATAAAAGTCCCTCACTAAAATTCTAGAAACATGATTAATAAGTCAAAATTACAAAAAAAATTTATACCTGTAGACCAGATCTTTAGCATCTTATCCCAGGAGCCACTGCAAAACTAGACACAGACAAAGGAGAAAGCATATGTAATAACTTACATTATTTGTCCCCTGTTCCCTTTACTTTCAAAGTTTTGCTTTGCTTGTTTCATTTCTTTGTACACAGGCTCTGTAACCTTTACTACTAGATAATCATATATTTGGCTTCCAGTCTTTTGGAAGCTGTAGCCTTGGTCTCCATGGCAACCAGCTGCCATACTTTTATGTACCTGCATCCTGCACAGCTGCTTAGGTAAAAGTGGGCAACAAACCTACACTACACTAATAGATCTGTTCTGCTTCTAGAATCTTTATAAATAAACCCTGAGAAATAAAGTTAGACTTTTCCTAAGGGAAACAAAATAAAAGTAACTTCCCACCGGCCCCCAAGAAACAAATAGTACAGGATAACACTAGGAAGTATTTCATGTAGAGAAAACCAGAAAATGGTTCAAATTGAACAAAGGTGATTTGGAAACACAGGAAAGGTTGAATCTACCAGTTACATTTAGCCTCCATTCCAGAGGATTCTTGAGGCCCAAATGTATCATCACCTTCTTGTTCTGGCTTGTTTATTCTTTCTTTGGCTATCACAATCAAATTTTCTCTTGAGCTTTAACAAATTGAAGATCAATTTCTGCCCATGTATAAGCAAAATATAGGTCTCCTAATTTCCTAGCCCAAAGACAAGAATGGTTAATTCATTTAAATCTATACTCAATGACATATAAACTCCCTGATTCAAGATAAATCATAAACCTTTATCTTTGACTGCATCAAGCATTCTTTGTTACTCCAAGTTGTAGAACACTCTTAAATATGGAATTACCCAATGCAGCAAAGGGAACTTACAAAAGCTAAGGGTTTGCAACCCTTCATAAGTCAATGAAGTTATTACTTTATTACTTTCTGGTTTGTATCCATTTTGCTATCATAAAGAATAGGTCATGGTGGCTTCATGCCTGTAATCCCAGTACTCAGGGGGCTAAAGCAAGCCAATTGACAGGGATATAAAACCACACAGAACAACATAAGGAGAATTCCAGGACAACCTAGGCTACAGTAAGACCCTGTATCAAAAACAAAAGTAAGGGACTGAGCATTTAGTTCTGCTATAAGTACAAGATGTATGTCCACACTGACAAATAGGCTGTTAACATTAGTCTGTGTGTGTGTGTGTGTGTGTGTGTGTGTGTGTGTGTGTGTGTGTGTGTGTGTGTGTGTGTGTGTGTGTGTGTGTGTGTAGCCCTGACTGTCCTGGACTAGTTTACTTGATTCTCCTCTTCCTCCCACCCCTCTCGTGTGTGTGTGTGTGTGTGTGTGTGTGTGTGTGTGTGTGTGTGTGTGTGTGTGTGTGTGTGTGTGTGTGTGTGTAGCCCTGACTGTCCTGGAACTCACCTTGTAGAATAGGTTTACCTCAAACTCAAAGATCCATCTGTCTACACCACCACTGGGCTTAATCCAATTTTTAAAATGTAATTTATATATTACAGACAGATACCTAGACTGAAGAGGTAAATCAAATAAATCTATCTTTTTTATTGTATTTACTTTGGATCTAAAGTCTTTTTAGCCTCTGTTATGGAAGTTAAATCATCACACACACGCACGCACGCACACACACTGCTTCTCACTTTAGTTCCTGAGCTATTGACTGCTATGGAGTCCACACTCCCAGCATGACCTCTGCAGCAGTGTAGGGCTTTCACTTTGTTCTTCTCCACATTCCATTCCCATAAGAGAACAGTCTGATCCATTGAGGCACTCAGTAGTAAGCAGGATAAACTGTCTAAAGAAAAGAGAAAAAAGAAGTTACTACAAACTCTTAACTGCATCTTACTTTTCATCGTTTAGTATTTTTGTAAATAGTGTGCATCTGTAATCCCAGCCCTCAGGAGGCTGAGGCAGAAGGGTGACAGGTTTTAGGTCAGCCAAGGCTACACAGTGAGACTCTGAGACCATACCACCTCCCTACTCCCTGCTGTTACCTAAAGGGGAAGATTCTTAAAATAGGAAAACAATACACTTAATAACTTGAAAATGCAGGCAATTTTAGTAAAGAGTTACTTCTGTAAATTTATGGATCGAGAGCTAGGAATATGGCTCAGCAGCAGTATGCTTGCCCAGCATGCACAAAATTCACGGCTCAGTCTCCAGGATCAGGGGGAAAAAGAGCAACCTATGGATTTAAAAAAATATTAACTCTTGCTCTCTCTCTGTTTCCTGCAGTTGCCCTGGGGCAGACAGGACTTTTCCTGCCTCCTCCTTCTCTTGTTTCACCCCCCCCCATGTCTCTTCTTTTCTGTCTCACCGCCCCCCCACCAATAAAACTTCCCACAAGAAAAAAAACTTATTGCCAGGGGTTGGTGGCACATGCCTTTGATCCCAGCACTCAGGAGGCAGAGGCAGGTAGATTTCTTTGAGTTTGAAGCCAGTCTGGTCTACTGAGAGAGTTCCAGGACAGCCAGGTTACAGAGAAACCCTGTCTCAAAAAATAAAATTCAATATTTATTACTGTCCTTCTTGAGTAGACATTTCTGAAAGACTGCGGTGTATCAACTGAGGCTTGAAGCATTTTTCACCCAAACATTCTTTTGCTAGACTAAAATTAGTCCAATTTTAAACACTTAAGATTCCTTTTAAAGTAGAGTCCTACCTTTTTTCACCCAAGCCACATCTTTCACAACATCTGTATGTCCCACAATTGTCATTATTGACTTTCCTTCCAAGGACCAGATCCGAGAAGTCTTATCATAAGAACCAGACAGGATCCTACAATGGGAAAAAAAATGCTATGAAATACAAAAAGATGACTTTTGAAGCCCTGAAAAATCACTTGTTCCTATGGCAACTTTAATAAAGGGTAAACTTTAATATGAAGAACAAAACTTCAAAGCATAACAACAGCTCAGATGTTACACTAAATTTCTGAACTACTAAAACAATATGAGATTTCACTTTTATTGTTGCAAATGCTATAAATTTCACCAAAGCAATGCAAACTGTGTGTAAAGCCTAAAACCCTGAAAACTATTTAAGAGAAAAACAGGGATGAGATGTAGCTCGGTCAGCAAGTAAAAGCCTCTCGATCTGATGTCCATTACCACACACATACCCCACAATACCAAAGCAAAAGGGAAAAATCACAAAGAATAAAAGAAACACCAAGTCAGGCATGATGGTACACCTTTAATCCCAACACTTGGTGTACTTAGGGAACTCCAGGACAGGCTCCGAAGTTACAGAGAACCCCTGTTCTTAACCCATGGGTCTAGACCCACATATCAGGTATCTTGCATTTCAGATATTTATATTATGTCTCAAAAATGTAACAAAAATTACAGTTATGAAGTAGCAAGGAAATAATCTTATGGTTGGGGGTCACCACAAGATGAGGTCTCAGCATTAGGAAGGTTGAGAACCACTGATCTAAGACATCCATACCTCTTTGACTCCAGACTGCCCATGCTAGCCCTACAGTAGCATGTTTGAATCTTCATGGTAGCAGGTAGGGAGATCTGTGGCCATTAAAAATTAATTTTTATCCTCTATGAAACAGTGTTTTTCTCTGGTCTTAAGTATCAATTACTGTTGATTTACATAGAATACAAATATCACAACATTTTGAAACAAAGAAAATCTAATAATAAACACTTGCTTTCTTCTTGAATACAACTGCAAAAGCCTTGTTGTTATGGTCACAAATACACATAGCACAAAGTTGATTTAATGAAGAAAAAGGAATCAGGGAGAAACAGTCACACTATGGATGACAAAGACTGAAGGATGTACATAAGAAACAAAAAAGCAGGTTGGTGAGATGGCTCAGAAGTTAGAGGAGCACTGACTGATCTTCCAGAGGTCCTGAGTTCAATTCCATGCAACCCCATGATGGCTCATAACCATGTATAATGAGATCTGATGCCCTCTTCTGACATGCTGACAGATCACTATATACATAATACATAAATAAATCTTTAAAAAAAGAGAGAAGCTGGGCGTTGGTGGTGCACGCCCTTAATCCCAGCACTTGGGAGGCAGAGGCAGACAGATCTCTGTGAGTTCGAGGCCAGCCTGGTCTACAAAGAGAGTTCCAGAACAGGCTCCAAAACAATACAGAGAAACCCTGTCTCGAAAAAACAAAAAACAAAAACAAAAACTAGAGAGAAAGAAAACAAGCACATTCACATTGCATACCATTCTTCTGCCCCTTCAATGGAGCTTATCCAGTCATCATGGAACATGCATTGCTCTGGCTGGGGTGCAGTGTACTTCTCCACGTATTCTAGTTCCACAACCTCTTCCTAGTCACACAAAGAACAGAAAAAAAAAATCAGTGAACAGTTTTTAAATATTACTTTGAAGACACAAAATTTGGGAGCCATTTAAAAAGTCAAGATTTTCTTTGTCTTCACATTAAGCTAAGAATATAAGAGTTAGTAGACTTAGAAAACTTATATTAAAAGTAGGAATAAGAAGAGAGCTTATAAAAAGATTTAGTTTTTACTTTAATTATGTGTATATATGTGGGCATGTGCACATGAGTTTGGGTGGAACCTAGAGTCCTCTGGAGCTGGAGTGTGGGTACTGGGAACTGAACTCAGGTTCTCAGGTTCTCTGGAAGAGCAGCACTGGACCTTCTCTCTAGCTCCCCAAAGGAGAGCTTTTATGTAAGAAAATATTTAGATACACAAAAAGGTCAGACAAGCATTTTTCCATGAGGGGAGAGCATCTGTTCAGGATGATGAAAGAGCGCTGGAGATAGGTAGTGGCGATAGCTGCACAGTACCGTACTTCACATTAACGAACCGCACTCTTAAAAACAGCCAAAACGATGTTTGCTCTGTATACATTTTAAAATCACAAAACATAGGGGAAATTACAAAATATATTCTAAACAGTTTAGTGTGTGTGTGTGTGTGTGTGCATCTATGCATTCCAAGTGTACATGGAGGTCAAAGGACAACTTGTAGGAGTTGGCGCTTTCCTTCTACCATGTGGGTCCTGGGGAAGAACTCGGGTCATCACGCTTCATAGCTAGCACCTTTACTCAGCCATCTTGCTGACTCCAAATATTCCCCTTTTAAAAAACCCTAGACAGAGCCGGACATTGGTGGCGCATGCCTTTAATTCCAGCACTCAAGAGGCAGAGGCAGGTGGATCTCTGTGAGTTCGAGACCAGCCTGGTCTACCGAGTGAGTATCAGGGCACAGTCCAAAACAATACAGAAAAACCTTGTCTCGAAAATAATAATAATAATAATCCCTAGACAGGGTCTCACTATATAACCCTGGTTAGCCTAGAACTCTTATGTAGACCAGGCTAGCAAACTTAAAGATATACATTACTCTTGGCTCTATTCGTTTTATTTTAGATTTTATTTACTTTTATTTTGCATGTACAGGTATCTTGCCTGCATGTATATCTGTGTACCATATGTATGCAGTTATCCAAAGAAGCCAGAAGAGGGAGTCAGATCTCCTGGGACCGAGTTACTGACAGATGTTAGCAACCATGTGGGTGCTGGGAATTGAACCCAGAGCCTCTGGAAGAGCAGTCAGTGCTTTTAACCACTGAGCTATCTGTCCACTTCCTGTTGATAGTCTTAATTATAAAAACAACTTTAAAGAGAGTTTGCTGGGGGGGTGGTGGCGGCACACACCTTTAACCCCAGCTTTTGGGAGGCAGAGGTAGGCAGATCTCGGTGAAACCAGTATGATCTACAGACTAAGTTCCAAGTCAGTCAGGGCTACAGAGAAACCCTGTCTTGAAAAACCAAAAACAAGCTGGGCGTTGGTGGCGCACGCCTTTAATCCCAGCACTCGGGAGGCAGAGGCAGGCGGATCTCTGTGAGTTCGAGACCAGCCTGGTCTACCGAGCGAGTTCCAGGACAGCCTCCAAAAGCCACAGAGAAACCCTGTCTCGAAAAACCAAAAAAAAAAAAAAAAAAAAAAGTTTAAAAATTACAGAGAGAGTATCACAATCACTATAACCTAACCCACATTTTTCTGAGATGTGTGCAATTTTGCTGTACTCCTGTTTTATGAATATACATACACTTGTTATTCCTTTTCCTACTCATGCTTTCACAAATTTAAAGGCGATATTAGCTCATTTTCTTGAGTAAAATATTCTTAGAAGGGGTCTAAAAGATGGCTATATAGAAACATAAGTTCAAATTTCTGGTGCGTGAGTAGAGACACTTGCTAGCAAGTCCAAGGTCCTAAATTCAATCCCTGGGACCCACAAGAGAGAACTGACTCCCATTCTCCCAGTAATTGTTCTCTGACCTTCACATGCAGGCTGTAGTACCTACACATATCATATAGTAAGTAAATTGTTTGGGTTTGAGTCTTAGAAAACATTTTAAAATTACATTTACTTATTATATGGTATGTGTATGGTATGATTTTTTGTGTTTTGTTTTGATTTTGAGTTTTAGAAAACATTTTAAAATTACACTTACTTAAACACACACACAAAAAAAAAAAACCAAAAAACAAAAGCCCACAAACAACAAAAAAACCCAAGATATTATTCTTGGACATTGAAAGCAATTCAGACTGATTCTATAAGTAGTTACTCAAAAATATTTAGTAATGTATTAAATCAAATAGAAGCAGTTCTTGGACTTACCGATGAAATGTTTTCCAGTTCCATGTGTTTGACCAAGGGCAATCGAAGAAATTGGCCCTTGATAAGGAAATCGAACTCGACATGTTTGTGGAGCTCTGCAAAAGAGTAAGGGTCTTAGGAACATCAGTGCCATATGTATGGAAACCCTGAAGCAATCCCGTCCACAGTGCCCATTGCTGTCCCAGTCGCTCTGTAACTCCTAGCACACTGAATGATTTTGGGGATTTTTGTTGTTTTTGTTTTTTTCAAGACAAGGTTTCTGTGTATAATAGCTCTGTAGACTAGGTGGACCTTGAACTCAGAGATCTGCCTGCCTCTGTTTCCCAAGTCTTGGGATTACAGGTGTGCACTAGCATCACACAGTTGATTTTTGTTTCTTTGAGACAGGGTCTTTGCCCTAGAACTCACTAAGTAGACCAGGCTGGCCTTGAACTCACAGAGTGCTCTGCCTTCTGAGTGCTTCAATCAAAGTCATGTACCCCCGTGCCACTCAGCTACATGATTTCTAAAGAACTAATATATTTGCCGGGAGGTGGTGGTGCACGCCTTTAATCCCAGCACTCGGGAGGCAGAGGCAGGTGGATCTCTGTGAGTTCGAGGCCGGGCTGGACCCACAGCCTCCAAAACAATACAGAGAAACCCTGTCTTGTAAAACCAAAAAAAAAAAAAAAAAAAAAAAAAAAACCTAATAAAAAAAGAACTAATATATTTGTTCTGTTGACTTATGCTTGGTTTTATGCTGGTGTAATTATTTAGGGGTCTGGGGGCTGAACCCAGGTTATATGTACGCTAAGCACATGTTCTATCACTGAACTAACTACACCCTAGTAATCTCATTTCTTCTTGTTTTAAAAGAGTAGTTTATTGAATACACTACAAAAGGACAAAAGGCTAGACAATAGCTTGAATACCACCTGAAGCCCATTATCTAATTTTTAAAAAGCTTTTGTTCTGCAGAAGATTTACAATATATAAAAAAGCATAAATAACAGTGAACACACATCCTACTCCAATACTAAACAACTCGACAATAATCATTTCTATTCCTGTCTCCATCTTCTCACTAGCTTCTTTTATTTTTTATTTTTTTTGTTTTTTTTTCGAGACAGGGTTTCTCTGCATTGTTTTGGAGGCTGTCCTGGAACTCGCTCGGTAGACCAGGGTGGCCTTGAACTCACAGAGATCCGCCTGCCTCTGCCTCCCGAGTGCTGGGATTAAAGGCGTGCGCCACCAACGCCCGGCTCACTAGCTTCTTTTAAATCAAACCTCAGAAATCATACCATTTCATTTGTAAATGGCATTATGTATCTCTAAAATATAGGATTTAAAACACAATGTTAACAATGTTACTACACATGTGCTGTCACTATTTATGTGGGTTTTTAATTTAACTTGTATTTTGAAACTGTGTCTTACTGTGTAGCCCACACTGGCTTCAAACTCACTACCATAGCCCAGGCTAGCCTCTAGAGGTTAGACAGATAGATAGAGCTATCTTCAACTCATTGTCTCAGTTTCTAGATCACTGGAATTGAATACAGGTGTATACCATCATGTACAGCTGCTCATTTTATAGAGTACAGTTTTAAAAGGGGGCACCTAGCTAGTTAGTGTGTTTCTTCAATCTTTAAAAGCCCCACTCCTTTTAATTCTCATTTCTTCATTGAGGAAAGTGGGTTAACTATCTTATATTTCTTACATTCTGGGCTTGGTTGATTACATCTCCAAAGTGTCTTTTTTTTTAAGTATTTTTCTCATTACGTTGTATATGTGGGCATGTGTGCTATGTGTGGAGGTCAGAAGACAAGTTTGTGGAGTTGGGTCTCTCCACTTTTACTTGGGCTGTGAGGATTAAACTCGGGTCACCAGGCTTACACCACTGGACAGCAAGCATCTTTAGCTAGCTGAGTTAAGTCAAGGTCCTACAGATCATCTTTAATATGTTCATCTATCCTCTACTATATCATGTAAATTAGTGATCCCTAAATGATTGGTAAGACACATCAACATGAATGTATTAACTAGCTCTGTTCTTTTTTACATACATGTGTGCATGAGTGTGCAAGTTCAAGGCTGATGTTGAATGTCTTTCTGATTCACGTGCCACAGCTTGATGTTTTGTTAGTGTGGCTAGCCAGTTTGTTCTACAGACCCCCAGCTCTGCTTCCAATGTGCTGAGATTATAGGCAGGGTATCAGACTAGCCTGCCTTTCAGGTGGGGCCTAGAGATCTGAACGCTGGTCTTCATGCTTCCACATAAACATTTTATTCACTGAGCCATCTCTCCTGCCCTTGTTTTTCTTTCTTAAAATTTATTTTTTTATTTTGTGAGCACTGGTGTTTTGCCTGCATGTATGTCTGTGTGAGGGTGTTTGATCCTAAAGTTACAGACAGTTGTGAGCAGAGGCAAGTGGATAACTGAGTTTGAGGCCAGCCTGGTCTACAGAGCAAGGTGCAGGACAGCCAGGGTTATAGAGGGAAACTGTGTCCTCTCCTAACATCTTGGAACATGTATACCCACCATTTTTGGTGTCCAGCAATTTATTGATGATGTTACTAAGGTCAGCAACTTCAGAGGTGGCAGGGATTGAGAAAGGAACATCATCTACTGCATATCTATAACAGCGAAATGATATGTCAGTATCATGTTTACAAATGTTTTAGCAAAGCTGCATTTATTCATTCAACAACTATTTACTGGGTACTTCATGCCAGATATTTGCTACAAGGCATAAACAAAATGAAGTAAGGTGTCTTTATTCTTAAAGAATCAAGCAGGCTGTCATGAGGCAGAGGCAGGTGGATCTCTGTGAGTTCGAGACCAAGCCTGGTCTACCAAGCGAGTTCCAGGACAGGCTCCAAAACAATACAGAGAAACCCTGTCTCTAAAAACCAAAAAAGACATGAAGAGTACTTTAAATACCATATGCTATGAAGTAGCTTTTAATTCTTTGTGTAGGCGACAAGGAACCGCTGTAGCGGTCCATGTTAAGAATAACAGCAGTACTTTGTTTAGTTATATCTTTATAGCTGTGCAGAGTAGATTAGAATATATGACCGGAGGCTGAACAGAGACTCAAAGAGAAATAGGAAAATATTTACAAACCATTTATCTGGTAAGGAACTTGTATCCACAATATATAAAGAACATTTATAATTCAGTACTAAAGTCATTTTTTTAAAGGACAAGGGATTTGAATAGCTAGTTTTCTAGAGAAAGAGCAATGATCAACAGGCACAGAAACAAACCACAATGAAGGTCACTTCACACCATCAGATGCACATAAAGTCATGGTGAGGACACAGAGGAAGGGGACCCTCACTCATTGACGGTGGTAAAGGAAAACGGTGTGGTTGTTTTGGAAAACAGCATGCCGTTGATCTGAAACTTAAATGTGGACTTACCTGACCCAAGAACTACACTTTTAGGTAAACACCAAAGAGCAATGAAAACCTATGTTCATTGAGCACGGTGGCATGGGCCTTTAATCCCAGCATTTGGAAGGCAAGGGCAGGTGGATCAGTGGGTCTGAGGCCAGCCTTAGCTACACAGTGAATTCTAGGCCAGCCAGGGCTACACATGTTCACATACAAAATATACACTAAGGCTTACACAGCCACTATCCACAATAGCTAAAATAGTGAAACAACCTAAATGTCTAATTGGACAATAAGAGAAAATGAGCCATACAATGGACTATTTAGGCATAAAATTAATGAGGTATTATGATATTCTGCTTTATTGATTAAACTATAAAAACACAGTAAGCAAAAGATGCCAGCCACGAAAGACCACATAGTTTGTCTAACTTCATTATACAAAATGTCCAGAATGGACACATACACAAGAGATAAATGGTAGGTAGGTAAGCGTTGACTTGGGTGGGGAGGATTTAAGGGACTGAGTGGCAAATAAAGAGTGATGGATTTTTTTTTTCTAAAATAGATTGGGTGGATGGTTGTACAATTAATTCTACTAAAACGATGCACCCGAATCTCAACACACACTGTATGCATCATTAGTAAATTTGCCATCTATGTGACTTACTTACAGATAAGAACACAAAAACACAGGTAAAAATACACACACACACACACACACACACACACACACACACACACACACACAGAGTAGGGGTTAGTGTTGTCAAGTCAACAGAAGCTAAGGTCACCTGAGAAGAGGGAACTTCAATTAAGAAAATGCCTCCACTAGACTGGCTGTAGGCAAGTCTGTGGGAGCATTTTCTGGAATAATGGCTGATGTAGGAGGAAGAACCACCCGTCTTAAAAAAGGCAGGCTTGGCTAGGCATGGGGAGAGCCAGCCACAGCACAGCACTCCTCCATGGTTTCGGGTTCAGCTCCTGCCTCCACGTTCCTGTCTTGGCTTCCTTTGATGATGACTGTAACCTGTGAGTCTAAACCCTTTCCTCCCCAAGCTGCTTTTGGTCATAGTATTTTATCACACTAAATAGGACATACACACATAATACACCTCATCAAGTCAGTAACTGGGCTGACTTCACAGTAATAAAAAGCCAGCTCTAAGAACCCCAGATTCAGAGATCCAGTTTCAACAGTGGCTAAGAAGAGCACATGAAGTTGTGCTTCCAGAAACCACGAGACATCATCAACAGACAGCCTGTAGCTAGAACTGCCACTGTTCATCCCTCCAGTAACGAAACAGTGTGTGCACCATTCAGACAGCAAACTCGAAACCCGGTTCCCTCCACACACACAAGCTAAGAGCTCACGAAAGCCAGCCAAGACGTGTCCACCGTTTGCCAAAGGGACAACACCGGGCAAAAGTGAGGGGCACGGGAAGGGGAGGGCGAACGAAGTCGTCTTTATTTTTAAGTTTTGTTTCTGCCCGGCACGCAGGTTATCTCATTTGCATTAAGTCCTTTTAGTTCCAGCCAGATACTTACTAAAACTTTCAGCTTCGATTTTACTAAAGCCGTGTGTGTTTCTTCTTTAATGCCTAGTCAAAGCCCCAATCACCAGTGACTACGAGGTCCACACCGAAAGGGAGGTGACACCAGTCGGCTCGGGGAAGGCAGGCGCTGAGGCCCTTACTTACTTCTTGTTCTCGGTGTAGAAACGCGCCTGGAGCTGTGCCATGGCGGGAAGGACACGCGCTGACAAGCAAGCGGCGCTAAGGCAGACGAGCACGAGGCCAGCTCTGCCGTCCGCCTCCGGCTTCCTCAGACCGCACCACGAGGTACCCTCTCCACAGCGCCCAGCCCGCACTCATCAACTGCCTATTGCGAGATTGAGGAAACATCGATCAGTAAAGCGCCGTCTCAAGAGCGGCCACGCCCCTTACCACTTTCGAGTTTCTTACTATCGACTTAGACCCGCAATCGATGAGGAAGACGGGGGAAACTCACGAATCTGATTTTTTACGGGTGTCCACAGGCTGGATGCGCAGACTCAGAGCTCAGAAACTACAAACCCCAGAAGGGCGCGCGAAGCAGACGCGCTGAACACTGGGAGTTGTAGGTTTTAGTTACTGAGCCACCCCGCACTCAGGTTCCATTATTTGCTTTTAAAACTCCCTTCTCCGGCCAGACATTCTGTTTCCCGCGCCTTAATTCTGGGTGACAAAGGTCCCACCTCTTTGTTTTTTAATGCATCGTCCCAACAACAGCCCGATTCGGCGGAGACCATGTGTCCCTCCCTCCGGCTGCCGAGTGGAAACACGGGAAAGGAGTTGAACGAATCGGAAGGGAACTGGGAGACGGCGGCCGGGAAAGGTCCAACCTTAGGGCGTTTGTGCTGCGCCTTCCGGAGCGGTGCGCGTGCGCATTGTGCTGGTCTCCATGGCGGGGCCTCGGAGCCAAGACGAGGTTGAGTAGACTCGCTTTGAATTTCCTCCCTTCTGCTCCGGCGGACTCCCCTCTCGCGTCGTGGGGCTCGCTGCGGCGGCAGGGCTGGGGGAGCCGGAGGTCTGGCGGAGCTGTCGGCGCCTAGGGACCGGACACTCCCTCCCGACCTCCCTTCTTTCTCCTGCCTCCGCCTCCTCCCGTCACCTCCTGACCCTCCCGGGCTGGGAGCAACCGCCGCCCCCGCCCCCGTCGCCGCCGGCCGCGGAGGAGTGCTGTCGTCGCTCGCCTCCGCTGCCGGCCCTTCACTTCGGTCCCGGGAGGGGGCCCGCGGCCGGGGGGAAAGCAGGCTGCAGCAGGGGGAGGCTAGGTGTCCTGCGGAAGGTGCTGAGCCCGAGTACGGGCCACCGCCACCGAGCGCCCGCCGCAGAGGGGCCTCTCCCCTCCTTCTGAGTCTGATGTTTAGAAAAGCTTCCTCTGCACCTCTCCCCTGCTTTCAGACTTTTTTGTTTTTGTTTTTTAATCTTGAAGTCACTCAAAGGCCTGTCTCGGTCTCAGTGGTCCCGATTGTTACTCTAGTTATTTTCCTGAGTGGAGAATAGATGGGGGCTACTTTGAGATCCCAAAGTCACATTGTAAGGCATTCGCCCGAAGACCTCCAAAAAGGGGGGGGGGGGGCACGGACACGGGAAGATAGGTCTCCTAGACCACAATTGAGACTCAGGCAGAGCTGGATTGCAAAACGTGTGGGCTTAGCGGTGTGTGTGCAGACGAAAACTTTTCGTTTTTTATATATGTCGCATACTATTTAAGTCATCTGTAGAAATTTTGAAGTGATCTGAACAATTGGAGGCAAAAAACCACTTTTAACAATTTGTTAAGTGAGCAATGACAGTAAAAGCATGACCATTTACAGCGTGTTCGCCTTACAGAATTGCATGTCCTGTAACAAGAATGCCTGAATTTGATCCTACCTGTGCTACTTAACCTCTGTGCCACACTTTGATTAACTGTCAGAATCAAGTGCCACGTAAGAAGCACTCAGTAAATGTTAACTATTGCCCTCGTAAGAGCTAGCAGTACAAGTTTTAACTAGAAACTTTACTGACGTAGGTGGAGGCATAAAATGAGAAAACCTCTGCCCCAGTTCCTGAAATAATCAGTTGTAAAGATTGGGCTTGCTAATAGCAGTGTGTTCTTTATACAGGAGTCACTACAATGTTGAGAATTTACATTAAATAAGCTGGAACATCTGAAACTTGAAATACCTTAGTTGAAGTGTAACTCTTGAATTCTTACTTACTGGTAGCATATGATTGATTAAATAGCTTTTTAAACTGTCTTTAATTTGGATTTTATCAAATTAACAGTACCTGTAAGTCAATGCATTTTTATCTTATTTTGAACAGAATGCTATGATTGGGAAGGTGGAGAAACTGAATTTGCAAAGCAGAAATCTTGTCTAACATGTTTAGTTAAGGAAAAATTAGTTAATAAGTCTTGCAAAATTCAGAATACCCAGTATGATTTTTTTTCTTTTAACAGTGACTTAGGTGTATTGTCTAGTGTTGCTTCCAGGCTGTGCCCAGATTGCGAATGCTTTTGAGTTTTGGTTTCAAGTTTAGTTAACATCAGCTGCAAACTTTTGGGATTCATTTACTGTGGTCCTCATGAAGACTCACTTATCTAGAGAACCCCCAACATGGAAAAGCATTTCTTTTTGTTACAGTCTTTTGTTTTGTGACAGGGTCTCTATGTAGTCCAGGATGGATTGGAATCCACTGTTTCCCCAGGCTAGCCCGAGATCCACTTGCCTCCACTTCCTGAATACTGCTGCCATACTTGGCGGTTGCTTGTTTTGAACCTGAATCTGAGCGACGTCTTAGCCCAAGTTCTGGGATCCTGAGAATTACCTTTGTTCCCTTTTAGCCATAGCTCTGTGTTCCCCAGTCTCACCTGCTGCTATCAATAGTGAGCGGAATCCTCGCAATAATTCCCGAGTTTTAGATTGTGTGTCTTTCTCAGTAAGGTGTCTTGCACCGTCCTATCTGGGATATCATGTCCAGGGAGGGTACCCGCTCTACTGCCCACTGTAAGCATTTCAGAATGGGTCGGGACAGGATGGAACAGGAGTGGGTCAGGTATTCTGGCACTCGGTAGTCACAGAATACCGAGTGTTACACAGCTCAGGTGGAAAGGTATCCTGGAGCTCGGGAGCCAAGGATACTGAGTGTTACACAGCTCAGATGGAAAGGTATCCTGGATCTCGGGAGCCAAGGACCACCACATGTTGCAGTAAACTTAGCTGCTGTATAACAGCCCAGCCTCAGAGAAAGGCTTCTCCGGTGTATTAGCTCCAGCAGGACAGGGTCTTCCAGCTGGGGATGTTCGCCTAGTGTAGCAGTTTTGCTCGGCAGGAGGTTTCTAGGGCAAAGTTGCTACAGTTCAGCTCTGCTCCTGGAGAGCAGGGAGCGGGGAGCAGAGTGTAAAACTCCTCTCTGCTGAGGGAGTTTCCGGGGCAAGTGTTACAGCCCTGCTTGCTCTGCCCAGGGTCGCCTCTGCTCCGTCGCCTCTGCAAAAGAATATCTTCACCCAAAGCTCATCCAAAGGGGTTTATTGGGAGGGAAGAATCCAGGAGAGTGGCTGCCTTCTGCCAAAGTGGCAGAGGACAGCCAGCCTGGTAGGGCAACAGACATAAGCTGAACAGACACAAGGTTTATATAGGGTTTCCAGGGTGGGGATTGGTCAGATTTTAGTGCTGAGTTCAGATTGGCTAGAGCTCTGATCAGGGATTGGTTAGTTTTCTGCACAGAATTAGGGTCAGATTTGGCTCTGGTTTCAGGGCCAAAGTGTGTTTCTTTCTCTGGTCCTTTTTAGCCTTTTGGCTCCAATTTTAGGGCCAGGGTGCATTTCTTTCACTGACTCTGATTCCAGGGACAGAGTGTGTTCCTTTGGCACTGGTTTCAGGGTCAGGGTATATTTCTTTAGTTCTGGTTGCAGGGCCAAAGTGTGTTTCTTTGGCTCTGCTCAGGGTGTGTTTCTTTGACTGGCCCCTTTTCCCTACACCCACCATTGGTAATAGTAACCTTTTTGGTTATTAAGTCAGTGTCATAACCTTTGTGTTACAGTAAGTGCAAAAGTTGTGACAGTGGCAGCTCACATGTGCCAAAGGGAGGTTTCAAAGTGTTCTGAGTAAAACAATGGAAATTTTAATTTGGAAAGAAAAGCTGTAGGGTAGTTTAGTAACAACTACAATCCACAAACTGTTTCAGAGACCACATCACAGAATTTACTAAAGTATACTGTTAAAACTTGTTTTTAATATCCCTACTTAATTAGAAATTAACCACCATTGGTTTTTACTCTAGGAATTCTTGATTTCAGGTATTCATGTGGGCTCAGATTGTGTCTCACAAGGATAAGAGGGCACCACTTGTGCTCAGCTTACCTTTAAACAGATAATAAAATTACTTTGGAATCAGTGTAAAATTAAATTAAGTAATTTTAAGTTCTCAAAGAGCAAAGAAGTGAAGAGATATGTGTATGCAGGGTAAGAGCTGTAGAAATCAAGATTGTAGAAGTTTTTAGGGAAAACAAACCTTACATAAAATTTGTAAACATGATCCTTAACTTTTCTACTATAAAGTAAAAAATGTAGGTTGTATCTGCCTGCCTCTGCCTCTTTAACGCTGAGATTAAAGGCATGCACCACCATTCCTGGCTTAGATTATTAGTTTTAAAAGATATATTTTAGTCCACAAATGTTATGTGGGAAATACAAGATTGATGGTGAAGTTTTCCAAAAAGTACACCTAAGAAATTACCCTTAAAACTTTCAACACATAAATTTGCTGTTGATCAAAATCAAACGTCCACATCCCAAGTAATGCCCTTTATAGAGAAACATTAATATCTTGGCTGATCAGTCTCTATCCCTCTGCCATTCATTCACCATGTATAAACACACAGCCTTTATAAAGTAGAATCACAGGAACAATAATTTTACAGCTTCTTCCAAACCTTAATTTTTAAAAATTTTGATTTTTAGTTATTATATATGTGTGTGTCTTGTTTGTGGTTTATGCACATGAGTGTAGTCCCCCCCCCAGAGGCCAGAAGAGGGTGTGACATCCCCTAGTGCTAGAGATGCAGGTGTTGAGAGCCACTTCATACGGGTGTTGGGAACTGAACTCAGGACCTATGCATAAGCAGTATGTGTTCTTAACTACTGAACAGTCTCTCCAGCTTTGTAACCTTCAATAGAGAATGAACTCTACTTTTGTAAAGGGATACAAACATCCTAGAAAGCCATTTCCCAGAAAAAGAAGAACGAGCTTTTTAAAGTTAACTAAATAGACTATATCATTTAAAAAATAATTTGTGTTTTTACTTAATGTGTGTTGGTATTTTTGTGCATGTATGTCTGTGTGAGGGTGTCAGATCCCCTGGAAACTGGAGTTACAGATAGCTGTGAGCTACCATGTGGATACTAGGAATTGAACCCAGGTCCCCTAGAAGAACAACCAGTGATCCTAACCACTAATAACCCCAATAGATTCCATCTTTACTGCTTCTTTCTTTCTGTTCCCTATTCCTGGTACTTCCTGCTTTCAAGATACATTTGTCAACTGCAGGGTTGTAGGTTGTAGGTATGGAAACTTTATTTTCCAGCTTCTTGCGTCTCCCAAAGATGCTCTACTGGTAATTATTTTCATTGAGGGGAGAAATATGTGGCTACAGAAATCTTTGTTTCAGTGATAATTATAGACTCTTAGGCCTGAAATGAATATCTACTTGTCAATAAAGAAGCAGGAAAAGGGTTAAGTCACCACACAAGTAGTAGTCAGACTTTAACTCTTTTCAGCAGAGTAGAATAAGGTTCTACCATATTAGCCTGGTAATAACTAAAACATGTACAGTGAAATTTAGTAGTTTTATTTGTGTGTATAAGAATAAAATATACATTGACTACCATTTCCTTGCAGAGAGCATGCTACCGTGAAGACATAGTCACAATTTTCACATGAACAAAGCTGGCACCATTATAATTTAGTACCCAAAGGAAGACTGTCAATGAACATAAAAAGACATTACTGAGGCTAAGAGGATGTAGGAACCTGGACTTGAGCCACTGCCTAAAGGTAATAACTTTTAACTTTCTTTCTTCCTTTTTTTTTTTTTCGAGACAGGGTTTCTCTATATTGTTTGGAGGCTGTCATGGAACTCGCTCTGTAGACCAGGCTTGGTCTTGAACTCACAGAGATCCACCTGCCTCTGCCTCCCAAGTGCTGGGATTAAAGGCATGTACCATGTACCACCAATGCCCTGCTAATTTTATTTCTTTAAAATTCATCAGTTGTCTTTTTTTTAAGTTTTTATTGTTAAAAAAGTAAATTACCAAATCCACCCCCCATTCCCATCCCCTCCATTCCAGTTTCTCACCCCTGGCCACTTTCAACTTCAGCCTCCAAAACAATACAGAGAAACCATGTCTCAAAAAACAAAAACAAAAACAAAAAATGTTTCAGTGGAACTAAACAGAAAGTTCACAAGGGGAAAAATACAAATTGCTACGAATTTTTCTTTAAATGTTCAACAAGCATCCTTAGCCATTACAGAGATTCAAATTAAAACTACTATGAGATTTCTTACTGCCCCAGTCATAATGGCTAAAGTCAAAACAAACAAATGATGTCAGAGATATACGAAAGGGAGGAGGATTATTTGTTTATTGAGATTCTTTGGTGTTCAAATCTTTTAAAAATGGGTGTCCATGTCATGCGTCGGTGGCACATGCTTTAATCCCAGCACTTGAGAGGCAGAGGCAGGTGGATCTCAGGGAGTTTGAGGCCAGCCTGGCAGTCTGGTCTACAAAGTAAGCTCTAGGATAGCCAGGACTGAGAAACTCTGTCTTGAAAAACAAACAAAATGAAAGGAAGGGAGGGAGAGGTTAGGGTGGGAGGGAGGGAGTAGCTGAAGATCAGAAAAGCAAAGTAGTCAAGCCAGTAGATCTTACCTCTACCCAGGCTGAAGCAATCCTGCCCTCAATGTGGCTGGAGACCAAAATGCCCCAGACTGAATATCTGCTCCTGTCTTATATACCTCAAGTGCAGGGATTAAAGGCATGTGATCCCAAGTGCATAGATCACCTTTGTGTGGGCTCTGTTTCTCTTTAGGACTGGAATCAATTTCATGTAGCTCAGTGTGGCCTTAAGCAAACAGAGATTCATCTGCCTGACTTCTGTGCCTAGCTAGTATGGCTGCTGGGATTAAAGTTGTGCATCACCACTGCCTGGCTCTGTGGCTTATGGCTAGCTCTGCATTCTGAACTCCCAGACAAGCTTTAATAAATCATAAATAATGTATCAACACAATCATGGTTTTTTTACTGTTTTTATTTCTTAGTGGTACATAAATGATTTTAGTGATGCTGGGTTTTTATTAGATTGAATATTTTTATTTCATGTGTGGTGTTTTGCCTGCATATATATCTGTACATGTGCATGTGCAGAAGCCAGAGGACAGTGTCCTATCCACTGGAACTGGAGTTACAGACTGTTGTGAGCTGCCATGTGAGAGCTAGGAACCAAACCTGGGTCCTCTACCACAGCAACAAGTGCTCTTAACTACTGAGCCATTTCTTCAGCCCAGTATCAGAGATTTTAATAATTTTTTATTTGTTTGCTGACTAATATTTAATGTCTTCACATGCATGTATGTATGCTCATTCAAGCACATGTCACTATGCACATGTGGAGGCCAGAGAAGCATTTTGAAGGACTTGGCTCTCTCCTTCCACCATCTAGGTTCCAGGAATCAAACATGAGTCATCAGGCTAGGCAGCAAGTACCTTTACCCACTGAGTCATCTCATAAATCCAATCAGAGGATTTCTTTACATTAGACATTGCCGAGTTTGTTCACTGATTTTATCTGGGAGTTTTGAATTCATGCGGTCATGATTTTTTCCTCTTAGGTATGGTGAGGCCAGCAGATGAAGAAACGATTGCCACTGAAAAGATAGCTCATTACTCACAGTTCTCAAACAGAATGGGGGATGCTGTACCACAAAGAGCCACATGACAACAGCAAGGTTGGTGGCAGGTAGACGTGGGGTAGAAGACTGCAGAAGAACCTTGCCCGTGGTTCTTAGAGAAAGAATGGGCACAGAAGCCAAGCAGACTAAGCTGGCTTAAGATCAGAAAGGTTGAATGTGCTTAATGGACTCTGGCTTGTATTGGCTGATACCTGGCCTTCGGGTGGTTAAAGCTGGGTCAGAGTCTGTCATGTAGGTAGCCGAAGGGAGCCTACTATTTGGACTTGTTTTCATAGGAAGGTTAGTTTTATGAGACCATCTATTATATCTCTAGGTATTAATTAGCCTGGATCAGAGCGGTCCTTCCCTAGTCAATGGGACTCTTAAAATGTCAAAGGGTCATAACAAAAACTAGAAAACATGATTAATATAACAATTAAAATTAGTTTTGAATTTTCTTCCTTGTGTTCTTTCCTTATATAATGAATAGGCATAATCCCTTTTTACTTTCAAAGTGTTTATCCAAGATTATAGTTATTTGGTTTCTAAATTTTCCTAATAAAATGTCTTGCCTTGATATTCTTTTTGTGAATGTACTTGGGCCTGCCAGTGACCACATCCCTAAAGAAGACTTATTCCCCATTATCACAGTCAACTGCCAGTATTCCTCAGCTAATGGTGGTGCCTTGTGAGCCCCTCTTCCATCCATGCTAGAGCATTGACTAGCTTGTTTTTTTTGTTTTTTCAGGTAACTGTAGCTCCTAGGAGTTCATAAGGGCAATAATCATGTCATGTCCAGGAGACATTTCATAGCACTCTTGCCCAATCTCTGGTTCCTACATTCTTCTGTGCCCCTCCCTTTTTCTTGATGTTAGGTATGATGGTATAAATATCTCATTTGGGGCTGAGCACTCAACAGTCACTAATTCTGAGCGCTTTGACTGCTACCCACTGCAGATAGAAGCTTTCCTGATCAGAACTGAGAGCAGCACAAGTCTCTGGCTATAAACGTAACTTTTAGAAGTCAGTTTGACATGTACATTTAGCAAAACAATGGCAAATTTCCTTCCAGTGCCTGTGGCCTCCCTAGCTATGGACCTTTGACTAGGTTTAGAGCACCAGACATAGATGTCTTCCTATGCAGTTGACCTCGGATCCAATGAGGAAGCAGTTGGTTACCTCACTAACAATCATGCCATTGTTGTACTGGCGGGCCACTAGTTTAGCATACAGGTGTTACTACTGAGTAACTCCGTTGATGTCCCCCCCACTCCAGCAGTGACTGGAACAGCAACTTCTAGCGCTGTGAAAACCAGCCTGTAGAAAGGAAGTTTTCAGGTCAATTCTAGATAGAGTCCTCCAGGACCTACAACAAAAGTGTGCTGTGTCTTCAGCAGTAGGGACTTAGAAAACCATCCTTGACTGGTTACATAAATGATTCTTGTACTGTCCTCTTACCTGAAACGTAAATTGTTGATTGTGTGTAGGGTGAGTGTATGCATGCGCCACTGCGTTCCTGTGGGGCTCAGGGGACTCTTGCCTGCTGAAGTCCCCACTGCACTCTGGTTTGTTTGTTTTTATTTTTGTTTTGGTTTTCTTTTTTACTTGGGAAGCTTTATTGGGGGAAGGGAAGGGAGTGGGAAAGGGAAGAGAGAGGAGAGACAAAGGGAGAGAGAGAGAGACAGAGATCTGTCTCCTCAGAGGACTTGTTTTTATTTTTTCTGAGACAGGGTTTCTCTGTGTAGCCCTGACTGTCCTGGAATTCACTGTGTAGACCAGGCTGGCAAACTCACAGAGACCCACCTGCCTTTGTCCCCAAAGCTGCGATTAAAGGTGTTTGCCACCACCGTCAGGCTTTATTCTTCATAGTTTCAGTTACTTATAGTCAACCATGACTTGAAATATTAAACAGAAAATTATAGGAATAACTTTTATTGTAGTATAATGCAATTGTTCTATTTTATTATTGTTATTACTTGTCTTTTACTATGCCTAATAGGCCCAGTATAGAAATGTAATTTGGTCCTTTCTGAGGTTTTAGATATCCACTGGAGTATTTGGAATGTGTCTTATAGGACAGGTATTCCCATGTGTGTATACTCCCATTAGTACCAAGGCATCTTTTCAAAAATTGTGTAAGACCATAGAGATTAATGTAGCCTAAAGGATCCTTATTCTCATACATGCACAATCCCATTTGTCCCAAGATATCTTATCAAAAAAGGCTATATAGGTTACATCCAACCCATAAAATTAAACTTTTATTTGCACTAAATTATAACACAAATTTCAATTTTAATAAGCCAATATAGAGTGTAATTAAGGACAGAATGAGGAAACTATGTAATCTTAACATTTAATTTGCCTTAAATATATTCTGGTGCCTTGGCAAGTTAATTAGTTAAAAACAGTAATTTTCTATCTATAGAATGGAAATTATTTTACCTAAATTGTGTAAGGTACCATAGTATGGAAGATGAAAAGTTTATTTTGGATTAACATTCCCATAAGAATGTTAACTGTGACAGTTGACCAGATGTTTAATCCTTTGGCCATTAACTAACAGGAGAAAATGAAACTGAGGATGAAGGCAGCATGGAACAGTGCCGCTCAGTAGGGGTCAGCTGTCGTGATGAGGAGTCCAAAGGAGAAACTCAGGGACCTGAGGTAGGGATGCATCTGGAAAGTTCTCTAGTCTTCAGAGGGCCAGCATGCCTTTAACACCTCTTCATGCCTCAGTGATAGAGGGTTTATAATCTGCCAGGAATAGTATCGCACATTTGTCTTCCCAGCACTCAGGAGGTACAGCAGAGGGTCAGGAGTTTGAGCTCAGGCCTCTGGGGTGCACATTTCAGACTCTGTTGCAAAAAGGTTTTGATTATGTATCTAGCATATATTTTCTTTTCTTTCTTTCTTTCTTTCTTTTTTTTTTTTTTGAAACAGGGTTTCACTGTTTAGCTCTGGCTGTCCTGGAACTTGCTTTGTAGACCAACTTGGCCTTGAACTCCCAGAGATCCACCTATCTCTGCCTCCCAAGTGCTGGGATTAAAAGCATATACCACCACCGCCTAGCATATTTAACTTTTAATATAGAATTTTTAATAATGTTTACATATAGCCATGAAATTTGTGTAATCTCTCTCTATATTGAATTATATTTCATCATTTCCAAATGCATTCCTGAGACTATAAAATAAACACTTCCACTTAAGACAGTGGTTCTTAACCTGTGGGTTGCAACCCCATTTGGGGTTGAATGACCCTTTCATAAGGGTGGCCTAAGACCATCCAAAACTACAGATATTTATGATTAATAACAATAGCAAAATTATACTTATGATGTAGCAATAAAAATAATCTTATGGTTGGAAGTCACCACAACATGAGGAATCGTATTAAAGGATCACAGATTTAGGAAAGTTGAGAACCACTTACTTAAGAAATACTTTGAGCTGGAATGTAGCTCAGTGGTAAATTGTTTGCTTAGCATGTAGAAGGTCATGGGTTCAATATCCAGTATTAAAAATACCCAAACTTGGGGCTGGAGAGATGGCTCAGAGGTTAAGAGCACTGGCTGCTCTTCCAGAGGTCCTGAGTTCAATTCCCAGCAACTACATGGTGGCTCACAACCATCTATAATGAGATCTGGTGTACTCTTCTGATATGCAGGCAGAACACTGTATACATAATAAATAAATGAATATCTAAAAAAAAAAACCCAAACTTGCTTGACATAGTGGTGCATGTCTTTAATATCACCACTCAGGAGGCAGAGGCAGGCAGATCTGAGTTTGAGGCCAGCCTGGTCTGCAGCCAGGGTGGTTGTACAGAGAAACCATGTCTCAAAAACAAAACAACAAAAAAAACCTTTGTAAAAATATGATATATTTTACAAAGACTGATATCATATGTATTTGTTTATTTATTTATTTTGACTTTTCAAAAGCATCTAACCTGTATGGACTCTGGGGATCCTTCCTTTGGACAAAATGACTCCCCTACCATATTGCCCATTACTGCTCCTGAAACAGACGATTCGCTCACATCACAGGACATGCCAGAGACTCTGACTGACACACAGACCTTTCATGCAGAGCAGTTTCACCTGTTGGACCCAAATGGGCAACCTATTCAATATGACCTGCAGTCGTTGGAAGAGTCTAGTGTACAAATGGTGAGTCCATTTTATAACTAGTAAGTATTATGCTATTATGGTATTACCAGTATGTATTAATCATACTAAGTGACCTTAGTTTCTTGATACCATTGACGTATACATTATATTGGAAATAGTCTTTCTGTGACCTTGTTTTTTTAATGTAGGGTTTTTTTTTCCTTTCAGGAGTACAAAGAGTATAAATAGTGTTTAAAGCAGAACTTACTGCTCACTGGTGTTTGAGATAAGCTAGTGTTCAGATACTAAAGTTTACTTATAAGTTACTTCTTGTTTTTGAGACAAGGTTTCGTGTAGCCCAAGCTTTATTTTCACTCTCTCTGTTACTAAATTTCATACATGCACTATCATGATTGAGATCATAGGTACTTAAGACGATAGGCAATAATCAAGCTGATTGTTTTGAATCTTAGCTTCAGCACTTGTCAGCTGTGGGACCTTTGGAAAAATTGGCACAGCTTCAGTGCTGTGTCTGCAGAGTGAAGTAGTAAGGCCATCCTAGAAGTAGGTGTGCACTTGAATAACCTAGTAGCCCTGGTAAATCAGAATGGTATATGCATGTCTTTAATGCCTCCAAGATGATCACTACCAGCCCTTAATGTAATTCCATCTACCCAGACAGGAATGGCGCAAGTGATTATACCTCAGGAGCCACTTGTGGGTGTGAATAGTCCTCACGGTGAGTCAATATGGGACGGCTGCAGGGGAGTTGACTTATGCTTTACAGATTAAGGTGAGATTCTGGAAAATTTCCTATGGAAGTCCATACTAAAGTTCATCTCTTTAGGTAAGACTGTGAATTGAGTAATTAGAAAAAGTTTTATTAGCCCCAATAAATCTTAAGTTCGTTTTTGAACTCCTGTCTAGGTTAGCTGTCTATTTCATTTTGGAATTCTATGAAGCTGGTTGACTTCTGCTTCCTCCCAAATAGCCAGTGAGCATATAATAAATTCTTCTTAACTATAGAAACAACAATAGAAATAGCAACAATAGCACAAATGCAGTACCTAACAACAGAAGATTTTTATATTCATATTTTATTGATTTTTTTTTTGCTAGCTTTGTGGCCCATTCCTTCTTTAAACTGTTAGTTGAATCTTCTCCTCCCCCTTTCCATTGTTTCACATTCAGAAAAGAGAATCAGGCTTCCCATACCCCCCTTTTTTTGCCTGTTTGGTAATATTACCATTAATTTTCTTCCTTCCCTTTGCAATGTAGTTGAACACTTTCTAACATCATTGCTACATTGTTTTGTTGCTCTTTTATACATAGTGATTTAAGATAGCTATTTTCTACCTTTGTTTTATGATTTATTTTTCTATTAATAGTCATTAAAGTTAAATCAAAAACATTATAAGTACAATGTATAAGTAAATTTTTCATTTTCGTATTACATATGAAACTCTTTAATATAACAATTATGTCTACTATTTTAAAACCATATCTTTTAAATATAAGTGTAAAATTCAGAACTATTCTTATTCCTATTAAATGATTTAGTTCTTGTTAAGTAATCTTTATAGTATTATTCAAGATACCGATGGTTCTTATTTTTGTGTGAAGATGCCTCTGAAGATAAACCCACCAACAGAGGCTCTCCCCCTGTGACAGAAGATACCCTAGAAGCCAGTGCCGGTTACATTCTTCGTTCACAAACATCCCTTGTGATAACCAAGAAGCCAGGCACCAGGTGAGGCATGGGAAAGAGGAGGTTGTCTTAGGGTCACAATGGGAGACTAAAGCTGGCAGACAATAGAAAAGATGAAAAGCCCAGAAAGAGGAAACACTGGTCACATACATCTTCATTTATTTTAATGCATCTTGACAAGGACAGTTTGCTATTCTTTTGGAGAAATGTGAAATGTGAGTAGTCTGCTTCAGAACAAAGACATCGTTCTAGTCCCTAAGATTTTTAAATGATTTAACCACGTTTATATGGATATAATTCCTATATGGTAAGGTCTTTAAAATTTTTTTTAGCTTTTGTGTGTGTATGGGGGGGGTTGTATAATTCTTATTTATTTTTATTTTTAAATTTAAATTTAAATCAGAAACAAGGTTGCTTCACATGTCAATTCCAGGTCCCTTCCCTTTCCCTCCCCTCTCGGCCTTTTGGCTAAGATCAAGTGTAGTTATATAATCCTTAAATTGTCCCAGAACCTTGTCTTTGTCAACCTGAGCAAAACAAGGATAGTCCATAGCTCTTATACATAATTCTGATGTTAAAACCCTCATCATTTTCTACAAAACCATATAATTTTCAAGTTGTTCTGGGGCCAATTTAAAAGAAGTTCCCAGACTTATGGAGTTTAGTTCAGCTTTTTGTGTATGTTAAATGTTTGAGATTTCTACAAGTTTCTCCAGTATATTCTTATTTTAAATGCCTATTCCAGTATTTAAAACATGCACACACCTTGTTAAACACTTAGAAAATAAGTAAAAAGGAAATAGGTTTGGCACACAAGGGCAGCCAGCAAGTAGAATCATGGGCTTGGGCAATTCTCTCAGCCTAAACGTGTATGTCTCTGAGTTGAACTCAGAGTTTCAGAGTAGCCAAGTGTGTGCATGAAAGTAGGGGTTTATCTATTCTGTGGTGTCTGTCTTCTCACAAACAACCATGAAATAAGCATGTCCTCTTCACAGAGAAACATGTGCTTACCAGATAAGAGTGCCTTATAAATAATGCTAACTCGTTTTTCTCCCCTACTCCTCTCTGCTGTATCTCCTGCCCCATTTCCTAGAAATATAATTAAATATAAGGTGCTTAAACTATAATGAATTTTTTTTTGTTTTTTTGAGTCAGGTTTTTCGGTTTTTCTTTTGTAGACCATGCTGGTCTCGAACTCACAGAGACCCACCTGCCTCTGCCTCCTGAGTGCTGGGATTAAAAGCATACCCCACTGCCCAGCTTTTTTTTTTCTTGGTACAGTTGTTTTTAAATAATTTATTTTTATTTTATGTGCATTGGTGTTTGTCTGCATGTATGTCTTATGAGAGTGCCTGACCCCCCAGAACAGGAGTTATAGACAGTTGTGAGCTGCCATGTGGGTGCTGGGAATTGAACCTGCGTCCCCTGGAAGAACAGTCAGTGCTCTTAACCACTGAGCTGTCTTTCCCCTTGGAGTTATTGGCTTTTTTGGTGGTTGATCTGTGATTTTTAAATCTTGCAGTGTTTGCTTCACAAAACTGGATGAGTGTGTACTGATGGGTGTGGTGGTTTGAATGAGCAGTGTCATCCATAGATTCATGTTTTCTAGCACATGGGTTCTCATTAGTGGCCCTGCTTGTGGAGTTATAGAACCTTGCCTGAAGAAATAGTCATTAGGGGTAGGTGTGGAGGGTTTGCAACCTTGCCCCACTTCTGCTGTCTCTGTCTGCTTCCTGTGTGAGGTTGAGATGTGATCTCTCAGACCTGCTCCTATAGCCATGCTGACTTCCTTGCCATGAGGGACTCTATCCCTCTGGAACCGTAAGCCAAAATAAATCTTTTCTTTTATAGTTCGGCAAGACAAGTGTAGTCATTGTAATGGGCAGCATAGACAAAGCAATGTCCATGGTGGCCTGACCCATAATGGGCCGCACATGCAAAGTGATTTTTATGGTGGCATGACTTGCATGGACTAGCTAAACAATCATGGTGTTTCCAGGAAAGAAACAGATAAGAAGCTTACTGTGGTTTTGTTTGATTTGTATAAGCAAAAAAAAAAAATTTTCAGACATATGAAAGAAAGGCTACATTGGATAGTGGCAAGAAGGAATCTCAGTCAGTAAACCAATTTCCAGACTTGAACCAGTTTGCAGATCCAGAACCCCTTAGGAAAGAACCTTGTAAAATAGCCAAGAATTTCACTGTTAGCCTTTCTCCCACCTTTCCCCAGAGTGACCTATGGCCTTTTACAAGGGTAAATGTACAGTAGGGAGACAGTTAGACTTTCCAGGGTCTTTCGGATACTAGTTCTTAATAGATACTGATTCCAAGAGATCCCAAGAAGCATTGTGATCCTCCAGTTAAAGTAGGGGCTTCTGGAGGGCAAATTGATTAATGGAGTTTTTGCTAAAGTCCATCTCACAGTAGAACCAGTGGGTCCCTGAACTCATCCTGTGCTTATTTCCCCAACTCTAGAATGTATAACTGGGATAGATACACTTAGGAGTTGGCAGAATTCCCACAGCTACCAACTCTCTGTCTAGCCCCATTGTTTGGCCTGTGCATGACCACCATCTTGCCCCCTGTTCTAGCGGAACAGCACACATTGCTTCTTTAAAGGAACGCCTTGCATGCTTCATGGTTTTTGAGATATGTATGTCCTTGATGGTCCAGACAGTTCCCTGGGTATTTTTAAAATGACCTTGAGAGCTGAGCCTCTTGATGTACATGATTCTGTAGGGTTTTCTGAGTGAAGAGATTAGTGAACCATTTTCATATGTCACCTCTGGCCATATACAAGAAGAGACTACTGCTTTTTCCCTTTATCCAGTGTCAGGGACTGTAATTGAGATTACCAGTAAAAAAGTTAACATGGGCAGGAGGGACTGCTCAGCAGTTAAGAGCTCGTTAAGATGATCCTTTGTGAAAAGAAAGAAATTGTTTCTACAGCAGAGTAGAAGATTTCACAGAAGAAAGAGATTCCCAGGAGAAACCAGAGAAACATAAATCAATTGCATGGAATTAATAGTGTTAAATAAATGTACAGAAATGTTTTTCTGTTTGTTTTAAAAAAAAAGGAGGAGTCGGAGGTTGGAGAGATGTTTCTGTGGTTAAGAAGAGCACTTGCTGTTCCTATAGAGGACTTGGGTTTGGTTCCTTGCACCCATATGATGACTCATAGCTACCTCCAATTCCAAATCCAGGGGATCCAGTGCCCCACTCTGCCCCCAGTCACATGTGGTATGCATACTTACATACAGACTAAGTATGAAGAAGACACATAAAATATTTTTTAAAGAGGTCGCCTAGGGAAATGACTTAGTTATTAGTAAAGCATTCAGCACACAGTGTGAGGCCCTGTGTTCAAAATCAGGTGCAGTAGTTCTTGTCTGTGACCTCTGGGAAGTGGGACACAAAGGAAGACTGAGCCCTGAGTTCACTGGCCAGCCAGTTTCAGAATTGGTGAGCTCCAGGTTCAGTAAGAAACCCAATCTCAAAAAATAAGGTGAGCTAGGTGGCGGTGGTAGCAGTGGCGCATGCCTTTAATCCCAGCACTCAGGGAGGCAGAGGCAGGTGGATCTCTGAGTTTGAATCTATCCTGATCTACACAGCGAGTTCCAGGACAGCCACGGCTACACAGAGAAACCCTGTCTTCAAAAACAAAACAAACAAACAAAAAAAGTGAAGAATGACTATGGAAAACATCTGATGTCAATGTCTGATTTCAATACATATATGTACACACATATATGCACATGTGTGTCTCCATATAGTACAATATTACACAAAGTAAGGAAAAAGACAAAGCAGTTGAATGGGGTGTGTGTGTGTGTGTGTGTGTGTGTGTGTGTGTGTGTGTGTGCGTGTGTATGTGTGTGACTATGTATTTACATCTATTCATCTGCTCTCCCAGAATGCTTGAAGAACCTTTGCCGGCTCCCCTCCAGCCACTCTCTTCTAACACACCTATGTGGGCCTGCCGTCTTAGGAGTTGTGAGGTGAGTTTAAGATAATCCTTCCCTCATTTAACTGGTTGTGGCAACATTTCATCCCCAAATGAACATTTTTAAATACAAGTAAAATACAGTCAGTATCTGTTATATTCTGTATGCATTTATGTTTAATCCAAGTTCACCTGTTGTTTAATTCCTTAAAGATAATAGACTCTGATAAAGCAGAAGTTATGCCTATTGTAGTGGTACACGCCTGTAAAATCATCTTTGGCTGCATAGTGAGTTCAGGACCAGCCTGGGCTACATGAAACCCTGTCCCTTGGAACAAGAGAAAAAGTAGCTGTCATATAAAGCTCTTCTTTCTTCACTGTCATTTCTTCTCTTGTGGCTGGCTTTCCTTGTCTTCCTTGAAACTTCATTAATCATCCCTTTCTACCTTTTGCTTTGGACTACCTCCTCTCCCTGTCCCTGTCCCTGTCCCTGTCCCTCTCCTCCTCCTCCATCTCCCTCTCCTTGTTTGCATTTATTTCTTTTTATAGTCTCAGTATACATTCCTCAAGAGTTGCTTTTGACCTTGTCTTCATTTTATCTTTTGAAGGATTTTGCCTATTTTGTTAACTTCAGCTCTCATGTTTATAAAATAACTTGCAAATCTGTATCACCAATTCTGTAATTCTTACTCTTGTCCCAGATGTCAGCATCTTTTTGAAGTTTTATTTAGATTTTACTTTAATTCACTGTAACCATACCAGTTAGCTCTGGCTCTTACATCTTATGCCTGTTTCTTTATCGCTTTTTTTTTTTTTTTTTTGGTTTTAAGAGACAGAGTTTCTCTGTATTGTTTTGGAGGCTGTCGGTCCAGCCCGGCCTCGAACTCACAGAGATCTGCTTGCCTCTGCCTCCCGAGTGCTGGGATTAAAGGCGTGCGCCACCACCGCCCGGCTATGCCTGTTTCTTTAATAAACACCTTTTCCTTATATATCCAGACACAAAATTTTAGACAGATTTCAGATACTTAGCTGGTTTTTGTTGACTGTTTGAGATGGTCTCATAACGTAGCCATAGCTGACCTGATAACTCACTATGCAGACAAAGCGAGCTTTAAACTTGTGTTAGTCCTTCTTTCTGCCTCAAGATTCCAAGTCCTGGGATTGTAGGTGTACATTACTATGTCCAAGTCACAGTTCTTTTGAAAGTAGTTAAGAGAACTTGTTGCTCTTGCGGAGGACCTTTGTGCAGTCCCAGAACCTATATGGTGCTCACAACAGTCTGTAACTCCAGTTCTGACACCCTCATTTGGCCTCTGTAGGCACTGTATGTATATGTATACTTTCATATACATAGATAAATCATTCTTATACATAAAATAAAAATAAATAAAAATCCCCCAAAATTAAATGTTATGAAAAGAGTATTAATATAATAAAGTTCTTGTGAAAGGTTTTTTTAGAACACATAGTCATAGTTTTATTGGGTTTTAGTAGATTCCTGGCATCATATTAAAAAAATTCACAAAGAGGGGCTGGAAAGATTGCTCAGTGGGTAAGATCTTAGACAACCATCTCGTTAATTACTGTTCATTGAAACATATTTACCAATGGTTTTCTTACTTAATTTCTCCCTTGTACAGAAAATTGGAGATTCCTACCGTGGCTACTGTGTTAGTGAGACTGAATTAGAAAGTATCCTAACTTTTCACAAGCAGCAAACACAGAGTGTCTGGGGCACTCGCCAGTCTCCAAGCCCAGCCAAACCTGCCACGCGCTTGATGTGGAAGTCCCAGTATGTCCCATACGATGGAATCCCATTTGTCAATGCAGGTACTTCTCATCAGTTACTTAAAGGCTCCCCAGCAGCTGTGCTCTGTTGTGAGAGGGTGCATTTCATTTTGGTAGGTGAAAATTGAATTTTAATTGCTGAAATGAATATTAAACTAAAAAGAAAACATAGCAAATATAAACCATTACTTTATGTCATAAAATTATGTTTTAATTTATGACACTGAATAATACTTCATTTGTATAGTATGCTAATAAATCGAACTTTTCCAAGTAGACCTGTAGACTATCACATAATCAAAAAACAATTCCTTTAGTCACACTAACAGAAATAAATCTTCTCTCAGACAGATAGATGATAGATCTATAGACAGACACATAAAATCTCATTGTTTAGATCATTATGCAGCCAAGTCAGTTCCAAAAGCTTTGTTTCAGGTTTACTCATAAAGAATTAATGTGTTGGGGGGTTGGAGAGATGGCTCAGAGGTTAAGAGCACTGGCTGCTCTTCCAGAGGTCCTGAGTTCAATTCCTAGCACCCATATGATGGCTCACAACCATCTGTAATGAGAATGTACTGATTTTCATTCCTGTTGACAGTGTTATAAACTTCTTTACATTCAGTCCTCAGCTTAATATTTCCAGACTTTAAAAAATATCCAGGTTAGGCCAGGCGTTGGTGGTGCACGCCTTTAATCCCAGCAGGGAAGCAGAGACAGAGGCAGTTGAATCTCTGTGAGTTCGAAGCCAGCCTGGTTTTACAGAGGGAGTTCCAGGACAGGCTCCAAAGCAATACAGAGAAACCCTGTCTCAAAAAACCAGAAAAAGAAAAAAGAAAAGAAAACCAAACAAACAAACAAACAAATCCAGGTTAGGCAGGGCATGGTGTCATATACCTTTAATTTAAGCACTCAGGAGGCAGAGGCAGGAATTCTCTGAGTTTGAGGCCAGTCTGGTTTATGTAGTGAGTTCCAAGACAACCAAGACTACACATGGGAGACCTTGTTTCAAAAACAAGCAAGCATACAAACAAAACTAACCAGGTGCACTGGGGCATGACTTTATAATCCAGCACTCTGGAAACAGAGACAGGAGGCTCTGTAGGAGTTCAAGACCAGCCAGGGCTACATGGTAGACCCTGTATCAAAAGTAAAAAAAAAAAAAGATTATGTTATGGGAATTTTTATATATATCAAATATAGAGGTAAGGATACAAAAAACTTTTACACTCCAGGAATCCTGTCATCTATCTTCAACAGCTGTGAGCATATGGTTACTTTTGTCTTACCTTTGTCCTTCCCAAACATATGTAACAGTTCCAACATCAAACTTTAAAATAATTAACAGAGTGAGACTTGATGACACAGGCCTTCAAGCCTAGCATTCAGCAGACAGAAGCAGGTAGATCTCTGTGAGTTCAAGGCCAGTTTGGTCTACCTTGTAAGTGACAAGCCAGTCAAGGCTACTTAGTGAGATCCTGTCTCTAAATGTCTTAGGGTTTCTGTTGCTGTGAAGAGACACCATGACCACAGCAACTCTTATAAAGGAACCCATTTAACTGGAGGTGATGATTTATAGTTCAGAGGTTTAGTCCATCATCATCATGGTGGGGAGCATGGCAGCAAACAGGTAGACATGGTGCGGGCTACATCTTGATCAGAAGGCAACAGGAACTGTGACACTGAGTGAAGCTTAAGCAAAAGATACATCAAAGCCCACCTCCACAGTGACACTCTTAAATAAGGCCACACTTACTTCAACAAGGCCACATCTCCCAATAGTGCCATTTCCTGTGAGTTTGTGGGAGCCAATTATATTCAAACTACCACACTAAACAAATAAGTAAAGAAATAAAATAATTAACAGTAGTTTATTTTAGTTATAAAGTCACCAACAATCCCCTTTAAACAGAAGTCTTACATTTTAGTGTCAGCCTTCTAAATATTTTTATGATTAACAATTTTATATTTTATATATTTTTTTAATTTTTGAGTTTTTATTTCTTGTATATGGATATGTTGCTGGAGTACTACATATGTGCAATGCCAACAGAAGCCAGAAGAGGGCATTGGATCCTCTGGAACTAGAGTTACAGACACCTGTGAATCACCATGTCGGTGCTTGGAATTGATGCCGGGTCCTCTAGAAGAGCAACAGTGCTCGTATCACTGAGCCATCTCTCCAGCCATGTTTTATGTCGTAAAAGCTGGTTGTGTCATGCCGTAGAGTAGAATATTCAACTCTTGTGTGTCATGGTGTTCACATTTATGTATTTGTAATCTACTGTATGTAATAAATTATTCCAAACTTGGAGGTTTAGAACTACAAAGGTCTATTATCTCAATTTCTGAGTGTCATAATTCTAAGTGTAGCTTAGCAAGGTGACTCTGCTGCAGGTTCTCACACAGACTGAGGCTGTAGTGTTGACTGGTATTGCAGTCCTCTCATGCCTTACTAGGAGAGGAGGCAATCCCAGTCTCACTTGTGTGGTTGCCTTGTTGTGGGCCTTTGCACAGAGTTCCCTCACTATATGCCAGCTAATGTCCCCTAGAGACAGCAGATCAAGTAAGAGTAAGAGAGTATCCGAGATGGAAATTATCGTCTTCTTATAACCTAATAGCAACAATAACATATTGTCACCACTGCCATACTTACTAGTACAGCCCATGCCAAAGGGGAAGAGCTACACAAGGGATGGATAGTAGGAAGCCAGGATGCCTGAGTACTGTCTTAGAAGCAGGTCGCCACATCAATCTAACAGGTCAAATAGAATTAACAGAATAAATAATTTTAGAAAAGCAAGCAAAGGGGCTAAAGAAATGGGGCAGAAGTTAAGAGTTTTTCAGCTCTTGCAGAGGACCTGGGTTCAGGTCCCAGCTTCTACCTTAGGCATCTCATAACCACCTGTAAAGTTCATGGGATCCAGCACCCTCAGGCCCCCATAAGCAACTGCACACACTTGGTGCACATAAAGTCTTGCAGGTACACACACAACACTAAATACAATTAAATATTTTATTTTAGTTTCTTTTTTAAGGAAATTAGGGGCTAGAGAGATGGCTCTGTGCCTAAGAGTACTTGTTGCTCTTGCAGAGGACCAGGTTCTTTTCCCATCACCCACATGGTGACTCACAATCATTAACCCCAGCTCCAGGGGATCAGATACCTCTCTGACCTCTGTGGGCGTGAACATGAACACATATGCACATGCAAGCAAAGTGCTCATCTATATAAAATAAATCTAAAAAAAGGGAAATAAGAGTTTTAATAGTGTTAACTATTGACCAAATGTAACATTTGCTAGCTTCAACTTACAAAGTAGTACATTTAGTATTATTAAAAATCATATGTCTCACCTTTATTCCCAGTACTCGGGAGGCAGAGGCAGGTAAATCTCTTGAGTTTAAGGCTAGCCTGGTCTACAGAGTGAGTTCCAGGACAGCCAAAACTGCTACATAGAACAAAACCCTGTCTTAAAAAAAATCATGTCTTTTTTTTCACATGTCTTTATGTATCAGTAAATGTGATATTTATTAATTCCTTACCATAATTATTGCATATTTGGTAAATTTTATATAAATTTATGACTTTCTGTATTTTTAGTAAGAAATACTGGTGTTTTTGTTCCAAATGCTTATGTACTTACAAGTAAAAATTTTGAAATTTTTGTCACAACAAAGTTTTTAAAAATCTGTCTAAAATATATAAACACATCAATTACTGTCACTGGTCGGTTTTGGTCCACAGGTAGTCGAGCTGTGGTAATGGAGTGTCAGTATGGACCAAGGAGAAAAGGTTTCCAGTTAAAAAGAATCAGTGAGCAAGAAAGTAGGCCCTGTCATCTCTACAAAGCTACTTGTCCAGCCAGGTAAGCTTATTTTATCTTACTTTACTTTTTTTATATTAAAGTCTTATTTTTGAATAGCAAATAGAAGTATTTTTATTAAGTTTAAACAGTTTAACTCTGTACAGTGAATTCTAAGTTTTGTATGTTCCTCATTATAGCCTCAAGTCTTAACAGTTCTTTTTGTATCATTTTGCAAAGATTTTTCTATATATGAATATGTATGTGTATGAGTATATACATAACTTCTACCCTAAAAGGTCAGTGAATCCCACTAATGCTTTCTTTCCTTAAAGTAAGGTAGTAGTATTCCCTCTTCCCTGCTATCTGAAAGCCTGTAGTGAGTATCTGTCTTTTTTTTTGTGAGTATATGTCTTAGATAGGGTTGTTATTGCTGTGAAGAGACACCATGACCATGGCAACTCTTACGAAGGGAAACATTTAATTGGGTAGCTTACAGTCCATTATCATGAGAGTGAGATATGGCAGCACACAGGCAGACATGGTGCTGGAGGAGGAGCTGAGAGTTCTATGCCTTGCACAGGCAACAAGAAGTGAACTGAGACACTGGGCACGGCTTGAGCACATATGAGTCTTCACAGCCCTCCTCCAACAAGACCACACCCACTCCAACAAGGCCAGCTTGGGCTACAGAGAGAGCTCCAGGACAGCCTCCAAAGCCACAGAGAAACCCTGTCTCCTCCAAAAATCAAAAATCAAAAAAAAAAAAAAAAAAAGAAAAAGAAAGATTAAGCGTCTTTGTTGTCTTTTTCTTTTTCTTTTTTTTTGGTTTTTACGAGACAGGGTTTCTCTGTATTGTTTTGGAGGCTGTCGGTCCAGCCCAGCCTCGAACTCACAGAGATCCGCCTGCCTCTGCCTCCCGAGTGCTGGGATTAAAGGCATGCGCCACCACCGCCCAGTACGTCTTTGTTGTCTTAAATGAGTTTAGATAATCGAAGTTTAAAGTCAGCCAGCCTAGCCGGGCTGGACCGACAGCCTCCAAAAACAATACAAGAAACCCTGTCTCGTAAAAACAAAAACAAAAAAAAAACAACAAAAAAAAGTCAGCCAGCCTGGAAGAGGATCCTGAGAATAAACCAGATGTGAATTATGGCTTCCAAGACAGTGAAGGAGAAAACGATTTCAGAAAAACTATATTTAGATAGTTTTACTCAATTTGTGATAATTATTAATTTTCAAAGTATCATGCACTTAATATGACATCTTTCATAAGCTTCTGAATACTAAATTAAATATTCTTTAACTTCTCTGCTTGAGCTCCTTATTGATGTTAGGCATTTCTTGAAATTATAATAAAGTTTCTTCTTTGTCTTGTATAAAGGATTTACATTAAAAAGGTACAGAAGTTCCCTGAATATAGAGTACCTACAGACCCCCAGATTGACAGGAGGGTCATCAGAATGGAGCAAGAGAAAGCCTTTACCATGCTAAAGAAGAACTTGGTAGATGCTGGTGGAGTTCTTAGGTAAGGCATTCATACAGCCCTTGTATTTGCTAATTAGCATCATTAACAAGGACTTTTGTAATTATGTTTTCAATTATTACATTAAGTATTCATTTTATAAGTTAGTTACCTCACCATTATTAAACTTATTTGCTATTGTATATGTTATTGACTTTGTTGCCTAAAAATTTTATATAATTCTAACCAGACATTGTTGATTACTGTGACAGCCATCTGTGAGTTTTAGGCCCTAAATAAAATTCCTTTTTATGCTTCATGTTTTAAATAGGAGGAATTATAATATTTCTGGCTTACTGTCCTTTATTTGTCAGTTCAGGTGGAGAATTTATTATTGTATAATGATATCAAATATAAAGAAAGCTTTTTTATGATATTTTGTAAAAACTTAAAAATGAGGTCAATAATTAGTCAATAATATTTATAACATGTAACTCTAATATATAATATTATTATATTTTTAAATTTTGGGGTTTTTCTGCATGTATATATGTGCATCATGTGCATGTTTGATGTCATAGAGGTCAAAGAATGACATTGGATCCCCTGGAACTTGAGTGATAGATGGTTGTGAATCACTATGTGAGTACTGAGACTCAAACCTGGGGCCTCTATAACAGTATCAAGAACTGTTAACAACTGAGTTGTCTCTCTTGCTCCATACTAAATTTTAATTAGGCTGTTTTGTTTATATCAGTTTATATCAAGCTCAAGTACAGGGGCCAGTGAAATGGCTCAGTGAGTTCAGTCCCCAGGATCCTTGTGATAAAAGGAAAGAGCAGACTCCATTAGGTTGTTCTCTGACCTCCACACATGCATGCTAACACGTGTGCCACATGTGGCATACCATAATACATTTAAAGAGCAGGGGCTTGGTATGTAACTCATGGAGAGAGTGCTTTCCTAGCCAAGTGCTTAGCCCAAAGTTAAGTCCCCAACAGTGCGCATGGGTGTACACACACACACACACACACACACACACACACACACACACTCTAACTCTAGGTGGAGGCCAGCCTGGTCTGTATACCAAGTTCCAGGCTAGCCAGAGCTACATAGTGAGACCCTGTCTCAAAAATGAAACAACAGCCGGGCGGTGGTGGCGCACACCTTTAATCCCAGCACTCGGGAGGCAGAGGCAGGCGGATCTCTGTGAGTTTGAGGCTGGACTGGACTGACAGCCTCCAAAACAATACACAGAAACCCTGTCTTGTAAAAACCAAAAAAAAAAAAAAAAAAAAAGAAACAACAAAAAAGAACAATCAATTAAAATAGTATTTTACCAGATTGCTTGATTTTTTTTTTCCAGGCATCAATGTCTTGTGCTATTGTACATGAGAAGGGTTCACATTTTAGTTGATTCTCTTACTCATTGGGCCAACAGCAATTAAGAATGCTTTGTTTATTTACTTATTTATTTTATGTGAGTTGATGTTTTGCCTGCGCATGAGCGTGTGTGTGTGTGTGTGTGTGTGTGTGTGTGTGTGTGTGTGCATGCACCATGTTCATGCCTGGTACCTACATAAGTTAGAAGAGAGCTTTGGATTCCTTGAGCTGGCGTTTGCAGATAGTTGTGAGCTACCATGTGGATGCTGAGACTCAAAACCCAGTCCACTGTAAGACTAACAAGTGCTCTTAACTTCTGAGCCATCTCTCTACCCTCATATATATTGAAAGTTTATGAAGTTGCCTTTATAATTGAATAAAGTCAATCTTAGAAGAGTTGAACATAAGACATTTAAATTTTTATTTCACATGGCACAATCTTATATGATTTTAGCTTAAAAGGCTATTCCTGCTGGGCAGTAGTGGCACACGCCTTTAATCCCAGCACTCAAGAGGCAGAGGCAGGCGGATCTCTGTGAGTTGGAGGCCTGCATGGTCTACAAAGCTACTCAGCTGTGTGAGAAAACAAACAAAAAATTATTCCTTTTCTTGACTAATATTAACCTAAGTAATTATGATTTCCACCTTTGTCTAAAATTATCTAATTTTAACACTTAAAGTTTAGTAATTTCAATGTTTTCTCTTATCAGATGGTATGTGCAGTTACCTACACAGCAAGCTCACCAGTATCATGAATTAGAGACTCGTGGCCACCCTCCGTCACCATCTCCTTTTCGTATGTCTTCTCTTGAAGAAGAGGAAGCTGTAGTCAGAGATGAGAATTGTGCGTTGCCCTCACGCCTCCACCCGCAAGTAGCGCATAAGATTCAGGAATTAGTGTCACAGGGCGTAGGACAAGTGTATGCAGTAAGGAAGCAGCTAAGGTACAGGAGAAGCAGTGTTTTCTTTTACACTTGTTCTTTACACTATGGGAACTTTACAGCAACTTCCAGGACATGTGCTATTAGAGGGATATGTATAGGGTGTTTCTTCTTACCTATAAACAGTATTTTCAGCAAATGCATGGCAAGCTTCATATAGTGTTACTAATATAATTCTAAATACTCATTTGAGACACTGCATCTTTGGCAGATTGGACTGCTTCTACATGATAAATTTATTTCATTTTATTTACTAGCTAAGGTCTCACTCTGTAGCCCAGACTGGCCTTTAATTCACTTACATAGCCCGGGTTGGCTACCAGTTTTCAGCAGGCTTCCTAACCTCGGGTAACTGAGTGCTGGGATTATGGGTGTGAGCTACTATCCCTGTAATGAATTGATTGACATAATACATATTTTAGAAAGAGAGAAAAAAACTTGTAGAATCAGAAAAGCAAAAAACTTGGCTAATGTACTTATTTTAGATTATTTGAAATGAAATAGAATTTTATTATAAAATAATATAGGGAATGAATATGTTGAAAATAGAATATATACATGTATGAAGTTCTAAAAAATATTTGATTTTTAAAAAGATAATAAGCTAAACTATTTACTATAACAATGTGTAATGTTATATTCAAGTAGATATATGTTATGCATCACTACAATATTAATTAAGCAAATTATCCTGAGTACCATTACATTTACTTCAGAATACTACAAATAAAAGTTTTATTAGGCTGAGGGTGATGGTATACACCTTAATCCCAGCACTCTGGAGGCAAAAGCAAGTGAATCCCTGTGAGTTTGAGGGCAGCCTGGTTTACAGAGCGAGTTCCAGGACAGCCAGGGATACACAGAGAAAAATCTGTCTTGAAAAAAGAAAAGAAAAAAGTTTCGTTAGATGAAAAACTATCCAGATTAAGTATAACAGTTATTATAATAAGGCAATTATATATGTCACATATTCTGCCAAACCTATATATGTGCATGTGTGTGTTTATTTATTTATGGATTGGTTGGTTGATTGATTGATTGATTTGGTTTCTCTAGACAGGGTTTCTCTGTATAGCTTTGGAGCCTGTCCTGGAACTCTCTGTAGACCAGGCTGGCCTCAAACTCAACAGAGATCTGCTTGCCTCTGCCACAAATGCTAGGATTAAAGGTGTGTGCCGCCACCACTGCCTGGCTAAATATATCATTTTTCAACAACTTAGTAAAGATGATGTATTTATCCCATTTTACGCATGAGAAAATGGAAATTAAAAATTGCTAAGTATTTGGGCTTGAAAGACAGACCAGGCTGGGCAGTGGTGGCTCACGCCTTTAATCCCAGCACTCGGGAGGCAGAGGCAGGCGGATCTCTGTGAGTTCGAGGCTCGGCTGGACCAACAGCCTCCAAAACAATACAGAGAAACCCTGTCTCGTTAAAAAAGAAAGAAAGAAAGAAAGAAAGAAAGAAAGAAAGAAAGAAAGAAAGAAAGAAAGAAAGAAAGAAAGAAAGAAAGGCAGACAGACAGACCAGGGCCAGGGAGTGGTGGCTCACGCCTTTAATCCCAGCACTCGGGAGGCAGAGGCAGGAGGATCTCTGTGAGTTCGAGACCAGCCTGGTCTACAAGAGCTAGTCCAGGACAGCCTCCAAAGCCTCAGAGAAACCTTGTCTCAAAAAAAAAAAAAAAAAAAAAAAAAAAAAAGAAAGAAAGAAAGACAGAGCCAGAATGAAATCTGGGTCTAATACTATAGCTTATGGCCTATGTGCAATGTTTTAATTCTTTGCTCCTTCCAGTTATTGTGTAGTGAAATCTGAATAACAAAATGAGTCCTTGTAAAAATGACTTTTTGTTTGTTTGAGATTGGGACTCATTGTATAGCCCTGGCTAGATTGGAATTCACCATGTAGGTCAGGCCTTGAACTCATAGAGATCCACCTGCCTCTGCATACCTAGTGCTGGGATCAAATGTGGGCACAGCTGCACCCAGCAGACAACTATTACCTTTTAGTTACTATATAACCTTTCTGTTTAGAAGCTTTAATATTTGTTTTCATTGAGGTGCCTACAGAACAAAGCCAACATTTAGTAAAGCCATCCACTGTTTACTAAAATTTGTCCAATCTACTTCAATCAAATTATTTAAAAAGAGGTTCAGTGAGAACAGAAAAGTAATACAACTCTGCAGTTCAACACAGTAAATGTAACACATAGAACACACATATTAAACTGCAATTTATGTATTTATTTTCATGTAGTTATGTAGTAATGCTACCTTTCTTGCAATATCTTGCCTTCTGATATCTTACTGTCTCACAATATCAGAGCCATCAAATTTCATGCAATATTAATTGATGCCTTTTGGAAACAGTGTAACATGATGTTTATATATACAAATTGGAAATAGGTCGGTGTTTTCTTACTTACTAGATAGGACTGTAACTCAGGTCAACGTCAACCTGAGAGTCTTCAGTTCCCTTATCTGTAAAGTGGGATTGATAATTACACCTGGTCACAGGATCACAGTAATAGTTAAAAGAAGTACCTGAAGCATGTTCAAAATTGTGTAAGCAGTGAAAATATTATAATGTTAAAACTGAGGATTGTGCTTCAATTTTAATTCATAAAAATGTCGAGGCTCAGCCAGGCAGTAGTGGTTCACGACTTTAGTCCCAGCACTTGGGAGGCAGAGGCAGGTAGATCTCTGTGAGTTCCAGGACAGCCAGGGCTGTTGCATAGAGAAACCCTGTCTACAAACAAAAAAATGGAATGTCCAAGCTCTGTAATATATGTGCTTTGAGCCATTTAAAATAACACCTTTATTTAACCTGTTTTAATTAATAGAAAGAAATATAAAATGGCTGATATTTATTTACAGAATTATTTACAAAAATATGAATAATACTTTACAAAAGCCTATATTGAAAGAGAACCTTTCTTTCAATCTGTATCATTACAGTTATATTTTTATTTTATATCCTCCACAGGAAATTTGTGGAAAGAGAACTGTTCAAACCTGATGAGGTACCGGAAAGACATAATTTATCCTTTTTTCCAACTGTAAATGATATAAAAAATCATATCCATGAAGTACAGAAATCCTTGAGGACTGGAGATGTGGTCTATAACTCAGAGACTATTCCAGCAACGGTATGATCACACCCACTTCTGTGTGATTAGAGGCTTTCTCAGCTCCTATTAGGATATCTGACAATACTGTAGCTCATGGTAATACTTGGCCTAGTAGAAAAGGCTACTGTTCCATCATCTCAATTACTATGATTTAAGGAAACACACTAGCTAATTTTCTGAAATATGAATACTACCAGCTCTCAGAAAATCACTTGACTGAATGTTTACAAGGAAAAGAAATAGTAGATTTCCAAATCTGAGTATAACAAAGAAGAGTCAGTATTTTTTCTTTACAAGAACTATTTCTTTTTTGTTGTTGTTGTTTTTTTGTTTTTGTTTGTTTGAGACAGGGTTTCTCTGTAGCTTTGGAGGCTGTCCTGGAACTAGCTCTTATAGACCAAGCTGGTCTGGAACTCATAGAGATCCACCTGCCTCTGCCTCCCGAGTGCTGGGATTAAAGGTGTGTACCACCAACGCCTGCAAAAACTATTTATTATTCAGTTTATAGACATTTATTGAGCACATACTGAGTATATCCCTTGCTCCCTTTTTAAAAATAGATGGTTAAGGTTAAGTAGTTCAGGTTCAGATGTACAAAGTGAGCTCTATATGCCATATATGAATATCAATTTTACCTCATATTTTTATATTGTAGTTTCTCTGTCAGTGTTAGTAATTTCTGAGATAATTTTACCAGAGTTGTCCAGAAATTAGTGATGATAATTGAGATGGTGACTTAGGAATTAAAATCTGTGTCTCACTAACCTTTGCCTTCCTGACTTTTTACTTTCCAAGTTTTTTTTGCTTTTTTTTTTTGTTTTTCGAGACAGGGTTTCTCTGTATTGTTTCAGAGGCTCTCCTGGAACTCCCTCTGTAGACCAGGATGGCCTTGAACTCACAGAGATCTGCCTGCCTCTGCCTCCCGAGTGCTGGGATTAAAGGCCTGCACCACCAACGCCTGGCTTTCCAAGTTTTAATGTTTGAACATTTTAAAATTGTTTTTATTTTCTTATATATATATATATATATATAGATGTTTTGCTTGCATGCCTGAGTCCCATGAAGGCCAGGAGAGGTGTCAGTTCCCAGAACCTGGAGTTAGAGGTGGTTGTGGGCCACCATTATGGGTTCTGGGAATTAACCCTAGGTCTTCTGGTAGATGAGCCAGTGCTTAACCACTGAGACATCTCTCCAGTTCTAACACTTGGATATTTTAAATATGAGACCTACTGGGATGGTTTTTGTTTGTTTTGTATCCAAACTCAATTATTACTGTGCAGAATTCAAGAAGTAAAATAGATTTGCCACCTACACATCCTATCCAAATTGTTGATATCTTAACTCGCAGACCCTAACATAGTGTGACATATTCGAGCTTTAAGAATATGAACAAGTAAAGGGTGATTACAAAACAAAACACAAGTGTAATGAAAATAAAATAGGAATCTAGGGAAAGAGCTCATTCTGTAAGTGCTTGTCTCACAAATATGATGATTGAAGTATGATCCCCTAGAACCCAAGTAAAAATGCTGAGTGTGGTGGGTGTGTACTTTTATAATCCCAATGCTAGGGAGGTGGGGACAGGAGGGGAGCTGGCTGAGTGGTGAGCTCCAGGCCAATGAAAGATGCCATCTCAAAAGAAATCTGGCATTTACACACACACACACACACACACACACACACACACACACACACACACACACACACACGAGAGAGAGAGAGAGAGAGAGAGAGAGAGAGAGAGAGAGAGAGAGAGAGAGAGGAGAGAAAGGAGAGAGAGAGAGAAAAAGAGAGAGAGAAAGAGAGAGAGGGAGACGGAGAGAGAGGGAGAGAGAAGAATAAGGAAAGAAAAGAAGAAAATAGGGCTGGCTAGATGACTCAGTAGGTAGAGTTGCTTGCCGCCTAGCATGACTACCTGGGTTAGATGAGAACACACATGGTAGAAGGGGAGAACTGGTTTCTAAAAATGATCCTCTGGTTTTTACATGTGTGCCAAGGCATGTGTGTGCATGAGACACAAAATAAGCAAATAAGTGTAAATTTTTAAAAGAAAATATGGTAGTTGTATTATTAATGTTTTAAGAGTATTTGCAGCTGGGTGTTGGTGGCGCACGCCTTTAATCCCAGCACTCAGGAGGCAGAGGCAGACAAATCTCTGTGAGTTTGAGACCAGCCTGGTCTTCAGAGAGAGAGTTCCAGGACAGGCTCCAAAACAATGCAGAGAAACCCTGTCTCGAAAAACCAAAAAAAAAAAAAAAAAAAGAGTATTTTCAATGCAACTACTTTGTTTTCACTAAAACAAATGTTCTCATTTCAGCTTCAGTGGACTACAGATAGTGGTAATATTCTCAGAGAGACTGTAACAGTTACGTTTGCAGAAGGTAGGCTATTTTGGATATTTTTATAACATAAAAATGAGTTGATGTTTATCTGGAAAGAACTTTAGCTATCTCATATCATTAAAATTTTTTTGTATGTGTGCTCATATGTACAGGTGTGCTTATATGCATGCGTGAAGGTCAGAGTCATTGTTAGGAGTCCTCTGTTACTCTCCATACCTGTATTTTTTTTTTGTTTTGGAACTGGCTTTATCACTAACCCTGGAGCTCACTGTTTGAGCTGGTCAACAAGCTCCTGGTGTCTGCCCTCTCTGCTGCCCTAGCACTAGGTTTACAGACACTGGGCTATGCCTGGCATTTACGTGGGTGCTGGGGACTGAACTCAGGTGCTCGTGCTTGCACATCAAGCCGTGCCCTTGACTCATCGTGTAATCAGATTTTATAGATAAGGAGACCTGACTCTAAGGAGAGGAAGAGTAGCTGTTGGAATTTATCAAAAATATTTCTAGAATCTTTATGCTTCTTTGTGACTGAAAAAAAATGGTTTGTTGTGGAAAAATAGTATATTCCAAGGTGGCCTCAAACTTGTGATCCTCCTGCCTCAGCCCCTTAAGTGCTAGGAGTCTAAGCATGTGTCACCATATCTCGCTATAACGGAACTTTGAGGCTGTCTTAGCATAGTCCACCAGAAGAATGGTCTGGGTAGAAAATTCTCTTCTCACTCAGAACAGTCTCTGTTTTAAGGTTCTTTTAGAGGAGCTCCTCGTTACATTGCTTTCACCTCTGTGCCTACTGTGCTAGGCCACTGTGTACACATTTGTAGCTTAGTTATTCAGGCTCTTCAGAGGGAAGGGTGATAGTTAATCAAACCAAGTTTCTAGAGGATAATGTCTGCTAAAGCAATCAACACCATAATTGCTCTATAGTCAATTAATGGAGAACTTATGCAGAGGATTTTCAGCCACTTGTTATCTCCAAAGTCATGTCCCAGCTGTGTTAGTTCTTACATTGGTGTGCATTGGCATCACCTGTGCATTTTACTTTTTTTTCAGATTTCAATACTCATTTTATTTATTAATTTTTTTCATTTTTTATACCAAACCCAGTTCCCCCTCCCCCACTCCCAACTTCCCCCCTTTCCACCTCCCCATTCCCTTCTCAGAGGGGATAAGGCCTCCCTTGGGGAGTCAATAAAGTCTGGCATACCAATTTGAAGCAGGACCAAGCCCCTCTCCACTGTATCAAAGCTGAGCAAAGTATCCCTCCATAGGGAATGGGCTCCAAAAAGCAGTTCATGTATCCAGGATAAGTCCTGGTCCCACTTTCAGGCCCCCCAAAACAGATCAGGCCACATGACTGTCACCCACGTTCAGAGGGTCTAGTTGGTCCCATACAGGGTCCCCAACTGTCCGTTAAGAGTGTGAGTAATCACTGGCTCAGATCAGGTGGGTTTTCCCATCATTTTTTTGACCTCTGCTCATTTGATCCCTCCTTCCTCTCTTCAACTGAACTCCAGGAACTCAGCCTAATGCTTGGCTGTGGATCACTGAATCTTCTTCCATCAGTTACTGGATAAAGGTTCTGTGATGACAGTTAGGGTGGTCACTAATCTGAATATTGGGGAAGGCCCATTCAGACACCCTCTTCACTATTGCTGGGAAGTCTTAGCTGGGTCATCCTTGTGGATTCCTGGGAGTTTCCCTAGCACCAGGTTTCTTCCTAACCTCATAATTGCTCCCTCTTTCAAGATATCTCTTTCATTGTTTTTCTCCTCTGTTCCCTCCCCAACTCAACCTTCTCAGTCTCTCATGTTCCCATTCCCCATCCCCTCCTTTTTACTTACCTCCCAGTTTTCCCAGGAGATCTTAACTATTGCCCCATCCTGGGGCCCTCCATGTGTGTCCCTCTTAGAGTCCTCCTTTTTACCTACCTTCTCTGGGGTTGTGCATTGTAGCCTGGTTATCCTTTGCTTCAAGTATAATATCCACTTATGAGTGAGTACATGCTGTGTTTGTCTTTTTGGGTCTGAGTTACCTCACTCAGGATGGTTTTCTTAGTTCCATTCATTTCATGCATATTTCAAGATTTTATTGTTTTTTTTACCGTTGAGTAATACTCCATTGTGTAAATATACCACATTTTCTTTGGTTAAGGGGCATCTAGGTTGTTTCCACATTGTGGCTATTATAAATAATACTGCTATGAACATAGTTGAGCAAATGTTCTTGGGGTATTATTGTGCATCCTTTTGGGTATATGTCCAAGAGTGGTATTGCTGGGTCTCAAGGTAGACTGATTCCCAATTTTATGATACCACCATACTGATTTCCAAAGTAGCTGTACAAGTTTGCATTCCCACCAGCAATGGAGGAGTGTTCCCCTTTCTCCACATTTCCTCTAGCATAAGCTGTCATCAGTGTTTTTGATTTTAGCCATTCTGACAGGAGTAAGATGGCATCTCAGAGTCGTTTTGATTTGTATTTCCCTGATGGCTAAGGATGTTGAGCAATTCTGTTGACCTATAACCCGTTTCTAATTTGATTATTTGGTATTTTGGTGTCTCGTTTCTTGAGTTCTTTATATATTTTGGAGATCAGCCCTCTGTCGGATGTGGGGTTGGTGAATATCTTTTCCCAACCCATAGGCTGCTGTTTTGTCTTATTGATGGTATCCTTTGCCTTACAGAAGCTTCTCAGTTTCAGGAGGTCCCATTTATTAATTGTTGATCTCAGTGTCTGTGCTACTGTTGTTATGTTCAGGAAGCAGTCTCCTGTTTCAGTTCATTCAAGGCTACTTCCCACTTTCTCTTCTGTCAGGTTCAGTGTAACTGGATTTATGTTGAAGTCTTTGATCCATTTGGACTTGAGTTTTGTGCATAGGGATAGACATGGATCTATTTGCATTCTTCTACATGCCAACATCAAGTTATGTCAGCACCAATTGTTGAAGATACTTTCTTTTTTCTATTGTACAATTTTGACTTCTTTGTCAAAAATCAGGTATTCATAGGTGTGTGGGTTGACATCAAGGTCTTCAATTTGTTTCCATTGATCCACGTGTTTGCTTTTATGCCAATACCAAGTTGTTTTTAGGTGTAATTCTGATAGGTCTGCTTTCATATGTTACTTGGCCTTTTTCCTTTGCATCTCTTAGTATTCTTTCTTTATTCTGTATGTTTAGTGTTTTGATTATTATATGACATGTGAACTTTTTTTTTCTTTTTTTGGTATAGTCTATTTGATATTCTGTAAGGGTTTTGTGCCTTCATAGGCATACCATTCTTTAGGTTGGGGAAATTTTCTTCTATGATTTTGTTGAATATATTTTCTGTGCCTTTGAGGTGGAATTTTTCTCCTTCTTGTATCCCTATCATTAGGTTTTTGTCTTCTCATGGTAGCCAAGATTTCCTGGATGTGTGTTAAGAATTTGTTGGATTTAACATTTTCCTTAACTGATTAATCTTTCTATTGTATCTTCATTGCCTGAAATTCTCTCTTCTATCTCTTGCATTCTGTTGGTTATGCTTACATCTATAGTTCCTGATCATTTACCCAGATTTTCCATTTCCAGAATTCCCTTGCTTTGTGTTTTCTTTATTGCCTATTTGAATTTTCAAGTCTTGGACTGTTTCCTTCACTTGTTTGTTTCTTTTCTTGTTTTCTTTAAGGATTTTATTGATTTCTTCCAATGTTTGTCTTTTCCTCCATTTCTTTTTTTTTTCATTTTGGTTTTTTACGAGACAGGGTTTCTCTGTATTGTTTTGAAGGCTGTCGGTCCAGCCTGGCCTCGAACTCACAGAGATCCGCCTGCCTCTGCCTCCCGAGTGCTGGGAGTAAAGGCGTGAGCCACCACCGCCTGGCTTTCCTCCATTTCTTTAAGAGAATTTTTCATTTCCTCTTTAAGGGCCTCTATCATCTTGGTAGTTATTTTTGGGTTGTTTTCTTCTGCTTCACCTGCATTGGGATGTTCAGGTCTTGCTGTTGTAGAACCACTAGTTTCTGGTGCTGCCATATTGCTCTTTATGTTATTAAATGTACTCTTACACTGGGGTCTACCCATCTCTTCCTCCAATCGGTGCAGGTGGGGCCTGTGGCTCTGGTGGTCTCTCTTCTTCCAGGTGCAGGTGGGGCCTGTGTTTCTGGTGGTGGTCACTGATGCAGTGTGGGATGGTGGGGGTGTGGGGAGGATGCTGCTGCCTGGTGATGAGGAGGTGGGGGGCTGTGGTAGATGTGGGGCACGGGATCAGGGCTGTCCAGTTGGGAGCTCAGACACCCACCTCTTCCTCCAGATGTAGGTGGGGCATGTGGCTCCCTTGGTCGATAATGGGGGAGGGGATGATAGGGTACGGGCTAGGGAGGATGCTGTCACTGGGGCTATGGTAGATGGGGTGGGACACAGGCTAATATAGATTTAGTATAGAAAATGTTTGTAATTAAAACTGGATTGTTTTTTGCTATGTACATATATGTATGTACTTATTCCTAACAACAACTAATGAAAAAGAGGCCATGAATTTGAAAGGGAGCAAGGAGGCATACATGGGTTTGGATGGAGGAAAGGGAAAGAGGAAATGGTGTAATTTCAAAACATAAAATAAATAATTTTTTACAAATCTATTAACAAAACAAAAACACAACTGCTTTGCTGTGTCAGTGAAAAAGATGGCAGGAGTTTGAAGTTGATGTCATACATTCTAAAATTAGACACATTTAATAGCTTATTAATGAAAACGTTGAGTTTATGACCTCTGAATGTAATTGAGAAGCTCAAAAGCTTTCACATATCTAGAGAAGCTTATGTGTAGTTTATCTGTATTGCTTAGGGAATGGACCAGGGGAAAATATCACTAGGCCTCATTCTAGGTCTAGTGAATTAAAAGTTTTGAGTTGATGAGACAACTCAGCCAGTAAAGACATCTGCTGCCAAGCCTGACTGAGAACCTGAATAAAATACATGGAAATTAAGAACTGGATTGTAACACAGTTTAAAGTGCTAACCTAACATGCACAGGCCCTGGTCATCACAGAAAGAGAGAGGGAGGAGGGAGGGAGGAATCCATCCCTTTTTGCCTTCTGTTGCTGTTATAAACACGTGAGCAACAGCAACTGGGAGGAAAGGGTTTATTTTATCTTACAACTCCTGACTCCTAGGTCATGATGCATCACTGAAGGAAATCAGGGCAGCACAGATCATGGAGGAATACTGACTTGCTCTTTAAGACTTGTTCATTCACCTTGATTTTTTTATACAGCCTAGGACCACCTGCCCAGCAGTGGTACTGTCCACAGTGGTGAGAAGGACTGGCCTTCACACATCAATCATTAATTCAGAAAGTGTCCCACAGATACTCCTACAGGCCAGTCTCATGGAAGCATTTGTTCAACTGAGGTTCCCTCTCCCAGATAACTCTAGTTCATATCAAGTTGACAAAATAACAGCAGCAACAAAAACCAATCAGGACAGAAAGGAATGGAAGGAAGGAGATAAATCTAGAAATTCTTATTTTTATAGTTGTCTGATAAGTTCTGATGATCTGACAGGTTCTAGAAACAGTGAACTAGATACCTGGTCTATTTGTTTGTGGCTGTGTGTCTATGTTTCTATGTGTATTTTGGTTTTTGCTTCTTTGTTGTTGTTTTGAAATAGGGTCTCTGTTCTCAGGCTGGTCTGGAATATTTTAGACTGGCTTCAGGACAGTTCCCCTTTGATAGCCTCAAAAGTGCTAGGAATTACAAGCATGAAACACCATGCCAGGCTAGTTTGGAATTATGCATTAATAAATTGATTGATTGATTTTTGAGGTAGGGTCTCAGTGTATAGCCCTGGCTGACCTGGAATTCACTATGTAAAAAACCAGGCTGGCCTCAGACTCACAGAGATCCACCTGCCATTACCTCCTATGTGCCAGCATGCCTGGCTATGTGCTGATTTGTCAATTTGTGATGGTTTTGTTTGTTTGTTTTCAAACAGGACATCAAGTGACCCAAGCAGTCTTCAAACTCACTTCTATAGGCAAAAATTACCTTTTACTACTGGTCCTCCTGTGTCCATGTCCAGAGTTAAGGGCCTATATGCATTTACTACCTTGCCCAGCTTATTGATGATTTTTTTGAAGTCCTTTGCAAACCTTTGACTTTGTCTTGTCTGATTGTCTGATTCTTATAGTAATGATTGTTATAAAGTTCAAGAATAAGCCGGGCAGTGGTGGAGCATGCCTTTAATCCCAGCACTTGAGAGGCAGAGAGAGGCAGGTGGATCTCTGTGAATTTGAGACCAGCCTGGTCTACAAGAGTTAGTTCCAGGACAGCCTCCAAAACCACAGAGAAACCTTGTCTCGAAAAACCAAAAAAAAAAAAAAAAAAAAAGTTCAAGAATAATAATTGTGTCTGTCTCCTGTTCAATTTAGGAAATTCTCTGGGAGAACCAGTAACCAGCAAAGTAGGTGCGAGTCGGACACAGACTTCTTTGTCTCCAGAGCCATTTCACTTGCTCTCCCCACTTTCTTCATTTCAGCCCAAAATCTTCTCACACTTACAGGTAGGCAACCCCTTAAACAGCTGTGTCTGGGAATCTTTCTCTTCCAGAGTTCCTCTTGTAAGGATTTCAGAGAATGTTGTGAAATTACAACAATGACCATATATTTATTTATTACTAATTTTCTAATCCTTTGTTTTAGACAGAAGTTTCTGTCTCGTCTACCAGTTCCCAAATAACCGACACAGAGGCTTAATACTAATTGTAAATGCTTATTCTAACTCTTAACGATGTAAATTAACCTATTTCTATTAATCTGTGTGCTGCCCGACACTTGTGGCATTTACCCCTTTGCCATTTCTTGCTCACTCTCCATATGGGTGGTGACTCTCTCTCTCTTGACTCTGTCCTCTTTCTTCCCAGTGTGCTTAGTCTAGTTGTCCTGCTATACTTCCTTCCTGGATATCAGCCAGTCAGCTTTTTATTAAACCAATCCGAGTGACAAGTCTTCACAGTGTACAAAAGGATTATTCCACAACACTTTGTGTCTTGATGTAAAATAATAATTCAGGTAATATGTTTTGAAAAGTTTGAAGGAGACATGACTGCAATAAAGGTTTGTTGCAATACTCTTCCTTGGTCCTTATTTCTATCTCGAGACATGGAGTATTTGTTAGTAACTTATACCTATTACTTTGTGTACTCCAATTTTTTGTCAAAAAATATCCTACAAGAATGTCATACATACTAAATCAAAATATTTTGATATAACTCTTTTCTCTTTGGAAGGGTCTGAAAATGCAACCAAGACTCTCCCCTCCTGATGGATCCCAAGCTCTGGAATCAGAAAACAGCCATCTGTCCTCCAGTCCTTCAAGACTTGTGGATACAGCAGGAAATGCTGTAATGAATAGTCATTCTCTACTGCATGGTCAGAGTCACAATCTTCCAGCAGATACGTGCCAAATGCAAAACAGCAGCACTGCTGCCCTGGGGAGTCTCCCAGAATCAGTTCACAATCTCGTTGTCATGGATCAGCTGGTGGAAGTTGAAGATGTTGAGGATACAGGGAGTCTGGAAGGAAGTGTAAATAGGATTCTGTTGGGAGATGTGCAAACCATTCCAATACGCATCATAGACAGTCATTCAACTCTTAGTAAGTGACCATTAATTTGTGATTCTTTTTAACCTTTTGTAGCTTTATATCACTACATCAAACAACAGAAAAAGCTGTCATTTCTACTAGTGGGTTTATAATGTAAAGTTCAAGCAAAATTATGAGAGGAATGGGGCTGGAGAGATAGCTCAGCAGTTAAGTGCACTGGCTGCTCTTCTGAAGGACCTGGGTTCAATTCCCAGCACCCACTTGGCAGCTCACAACTGTCTGTAATTCCAAAATCTGACAGCCTCACATAGACATACATGCAGGCAAAACATCAATGCACATGAAAAAAATCTAAAAATTATTATGAGAAGAAAAGAGATTTCATTAACCTAATATTTTTATTATGTCTAATCATTTAGTTACAATGAAATTATTCATTGTTTATCCCAGCACTTAGAAGGCTTAGGCAGAAGGGTTGCACGTTCAAGTACAGCCTCAGCTGCAAACAAGTCCTATACCAGCCTGAGCAATTTAACAAGATCCTATCTCAAAACAAAAAAAGGGCTGAGATGGTAAAGTACTTTACTGCCTAGCAGACCCTAAGAACTGAGTTCATTCCCCAGTGCAGACAAGAAATGAACCAAAGAACATGAGGAAAATTATTCATTTTTAATATCTTTTATTTCTTTTGTTTTGAGACAAGGTCTCACTTTGTAGCTCTGGCTGTCCTGTAACTTACTATGTAGACTAGGCTGGCCTTGAACTCAAGTGCACTACCATTGCCAGCCACATTTATTTATTTAACTGTGTATATATATGTGCACCACATACATTCCTGGTGCCCAGGGAGGGCAGCGGAGGGTATTGGATCTCCTAGAACTGGAGTTACAAATGGTTGTAAATCACCATGTGGGTGCTGGGAATTGAACCCAGGTACTCTACAAGAACAAGTTCTCTTAACCTCTGAACCATCTCCCTAGCCCCATAACTTCATTTCTTTTCCTTTTTCTTTTTTTTTCTTTTTTCTTTTGGTTTTCTGAGACAAGGTTTCTCTATATAGCAGTCCTGGCTATCCTAGAATTTGCTTTGTAGACTGTAGAGCAGGCTGGCCTCAAATTCACAGAGATCTACCTGCCTCTGCCTCCTGAGTGCTGCTTGCCACGGCCTGATGAGAGAAAAATGAATATATGTAAATTTATTGTTTCAACGCCTTGAGAAAGTTAGCTGTCTTCCCATTCTACAGATAAAGAAACCAAGGTTCGGGGAGGTTAAGCAATTCCCTCGCGCTCACATTAGTAAGTGATAAAGGAGGGAACTAAGCCCAGGTATTATATGCCTTGCCATGCTTTCTCCCACTGTGTTGTCACACAGTGTTTCTGGGAGCATTAATTCAAATTGCTTTCCAAGAAACACTTTCTTAATCCAAATTTATCTAGAGAGGTCACAATCTGAGGGGTGACTTTACCAGGATGATGTGGGTGTCCTCTTTCCCCCTCGGCCTGTCGGTCACCAAGTCAAGAGGGGAAAGAAACAGAAGGGGTGACAGAAAGCTTGGTGGCCAGTGGACATCATCGGGAGGAGGCCTCTGGGAGAGACTTCAGTGAATCAGCTCAACTTTATTCCAGAGTATAAGGAATATATAGGAGTGGGGAGCCTGGGGACAAGCCCTAACTTGCATTAAGTGACATTCTCCTATCACAAGGCTTTGTATGTGGCAGTGGGTTCCTATAGCAGAGCTCCTAGCTGTGGATGGAGGTTCTGTTCTGCCTAGTCCTGTAGCCATTCAGTCCCAAATAAGCACACAGAGGTTTATATTAATCACAAACTGTTTGGCTTCCTATTGGCTAGCTCACTCTTAATTATTAACCCATAATTATTAATCTAGGTATTTCCACATGGCCTTACCTTACCGGAGAATGTCCTGCATCCTATCTTCCCGGTAATATCGTCTCTCTGGTGGCTCCTCTCTGCCTTTCTGTTCCCAGAATTCTCCTAGTCTGGTAGCCCCATCTATATACTTCCAGCCTGGCTATTGGCCAATCAGCATTGTATTAAACTAATTCAAGAAACATATATATATTCACAGAATACAGAAGGACCTCCCCCATCACCTAGCACAAGTCTTCTCAGCAGGGATCTGTGCCTGGAGTCAAGCTGAAGATGAATCAGGTTTTAGAGATAACTTTTAGATAAGGTCAGTCCTCCAGGCCCAGAGATGTTCTCCAGATAAGGGCAGGTAGAGAGCAGAAAGCCTTGCTTGAGAGAGGGAGTTCCATGTTGCTGAGCTATTGAGATAAGCTCCCATGCCATGGTAGACTTCAACCTCTTTCCAGTCAGCAATGTATTCCAGTAGGATGTGAGCTCTTAGAGTCGTTCAAATCCATCTTCTGTGGGTCTCCATGTCCTGACTGAACTCCAGTATAGTTAAGTATACCTGTAACATTATTGATGTGTTCAATACATCACCAAACAAGTCACAGTCTCTCTAGTTCTGCTTTCTAAGAGCAACTAATAGTAGAGATTCTTGATAAAGTACAATGAAGATTTGAGGCCAGGTGTTGTGGTACATGCCTTTAGTCTCAGCACTTGATCTGTAGGTTCAAGGCCAGCATGGTCTACATAAAGAAACCCTGTCTCAAAACCAAAGCAAACAAAAAGATGAAGATGCTAGGCATTGCATTGGCCGTGTAACTACTGGTGTACTGGCTATCCATCTATGTGGTTGTAAGCACAATGGATCATGCGTAGGTGTTCTGAAGTGTTTTAGATCAGCAAACACATAGTTCACAGTTGAGTCAGAGACATCATTTTAAGATGTGTCACTGTGTTTTCAAATATGCCAAATATTTTTTCTCAATTTTACCATGACCCTTTTCTAAACCATGGTATGTTTGAGTTTATTCTAAATTCAGACTGTTATTATTTTTAAAGCTAAAGTCTGATATAGGCCAGGTTGGCCTTAAGTTGTCTGGTTTACTAAAAATGAGTTTGAATTCCTGAACTTCTGCCTTCAACAAACTAGTGCTGGGATTACAGGTATACACCATTATACCTGGCTTTAAATTTACATAATTTTAAAAAGCATGGTGTCATAAAATATACTAACCCTTTTGGGTTTTTGTTTGGTTTTAAAGTTGAAGAAAGTCTAGAAGATACTCTGTCTGTGAACCAAGTTAAACAAGAACCCAAAGAGCCAACACTGTCTATAGGAGCAAAAACTTTTCTGGACTCTAAAAAAGTATCTGCTACATAAAAATTTTAAAGCTTTTCAGAATTCACAGCTCTGGTCCCTTCTGATGTCTTTGAAGGTGAAGATTGCCAGGGTGTGGCATGTCAATCACTGGACCGGAACTGGATGATGGGCAGCTTTGACTTAAAACTTGAATATTTGTTGTCAATTCTATGCTTGTATTTTCCTTGAGAAGTATTTTACTTTATTTTGTATTCCTTTTTTTTATTATCCAGTAACACAAGTGTTTCAGAAGATCATCTGAACTTCACAGTAATTTAGTATGAACACAAATACCCAATGTTGGTTCTTACAAAATAAAAAAAGCCAACAATAAGCCAGGCAGTAGTGGTGTATGCCTTTAATCCTAGCACTTGGGAGGCAGAGGCAGATGGATCTCTTTGAGTTTGAGACCAGCCTGATCTACAGAGCTAGTTCCAGGACAGCCAGAGCTATCTCGAAACCTGGCACCCCCTCCCCAAAAAAAAGGCCAACAATAAAAGCAGTGTGTGAGTGCATGTGTAGGTGTGTCAGAAAATTTAGAATTGTGAGAAGAGTTTTGATTAGCCAACAGGTGAGAGAATGTTTGTCATCTGTTGTATTTGGAAAGATAGAGCAATAAATTTATATGGTAACACTGAGTCTCCAATCACATCCCTATAGATTTACATGGTAGCACAGATTCGCCAGTCACATCCCTAGATGCTGGCTGTTTCCTCAGTCTATTCTCTAGGCTTTATACCTTTAACTGTAAATGAATGCTACTCATGGTCATCTGTCAGAAATTTCAATGACTTGGAAAGTATTGAAAAGTTTAGGGGCTGGAGAGATGGCTCAGAGGTTAAGAGCACTGACTGCTTTTCCAGAGGTCATGAGTTCAATTCCCAGCAACCACATGGTGGCTCACAACCATCTGTAGCGAGATCTGGTGCCCTCTTCTGATGTGTACATGGAGGCAAGGTGTTGTATTCATAATAAATAAATAAATCTTTTTTAAAAATCTATTTTAAAAAAAGTTTAAGTTGAATAACACAAATAAATGTATTTTATATGGGATTAGAGGTAAATCTTAGCTTAGGAATAGAAAGAAGGAAAATTCAGAGAATGGGGAAAAATGTTATAATTCCCCACTGTTTACAGATCATTTGGGGGAACTTGGTGGTAGCAAAATTTTTGTTGTTTTTTAAAGATTCAGTGTTTGGCTAGAAAATAAATAACATTTACATTTTTTTCTATACTGGAGGTCTTATTGAATTGATAGTATTGAAATTTATATATTTCAAGGTAAGTATTATATAGTTTAAAATTTAGTTCATATTTGAAACTTAAAAAGTCTGAACTGATATTTGGCTCATTAAATAAGTATATTTATACCTAGTCCCAAATAACTAGCAATCAGTATGTTCATTATACATTGTAAGCTTTTTTTAAAATGGAAAGCTCGAATAGTTAGAAATTTCAAATATAACTGTCATGACATTAACCTAGCTAAATGTAGTAGTGCATACTTGTAATTCCAGTACTTAAGAGGTAGAGACATTGGATTGTAAATTCAAGTCTAGCCTGGGCAAGACCCTACTAAGAAAGAAAGAAGGAATCACCTAGAACATTTTTTTTCTGGAGACTCATTTATGAGTATATTTAAATTTTAATTTTTTAAAAAATAAGAATTTCAAGTGAATATTAAAGTTTAATATTAAAGCATGAACAATATAATATGAAATTTGACCTCAATACTTCACATGGCTATCCATTACTTTTGACTTTTCTAAGTCCAATCTCCCATTCTTACTCAACTGTGCTTTAGGTCCATGACCTGTATCTAAGTATAAAACACTGTTATTTTAGAATAGGTGAAACTCAAAAACTCATCATTTCTACATCTATATCCTAGTCAGTGTAAAGTTTATTATTTATCTTATTCAATGCAAATTTCATTTCTAATTATATGTATAATTTTTAGTAAGAACTGCTTGTCCTTAAGAACTGAGGCAGTCTGCTAAATCTGAACATGTTGTACTAAGTTCAACTTCAAAACCCCAGTTCCCTTAGTCTGTGTGTACGTAAGAGGAATGGGATCAAATTAGTATGTACTTTGAATTGTATTACAGGTGATAATCTTTTGTTATCCTTGTTATAGAAACTGTTTTTCAAGAATTAATAGGTTTTCACCTTCCAATTAATATATAATGATTAAGGTTTATTATTACATATTTCATTCATTGAGTTGTATTCTTAGGGAGATAGTCCTTTTTGATGGTGAGTTACTAAGGAGAAATGCTTGTTAAGAAATAAACTAGCCAGTTTCCTGTGAGGATGAGAAATAGCAGAGGATTCAGTGTTTAATGTGTAATCAGGAACAAACAGTTTAAATAGATTTCTAGCCCGGCAGTGGTGGCTCACACCTTTAATCTCAGCACTCAGAGTGCTGTCAGTTCGAGGTGGGTCTCTGTGAGTTCGAGGCCTGGTTTACATAGTGAGTCCCAGGAACCCTGTCTTGAAAACAACAGCAACTGTGTGTGTGTGTGTGTGTGTGTGTTTCTGTCTCTTCATCCTAGTAGTGGTGCACAAAGGCCATCCTGGTCTACATAGTTCCATGACAGCTAGAGCTACAAAGTGAGAGCCTGTCTTGGAGAAAAAAAAAAAAATATATATATATATATATATGTATATATATATTTCTGTCACTTCATTTTGTATGAATGAGTCTTTTGTTAATATTTCTTATCACGAGGACAGAAAGTTACATATATAATTCCCACAACAAAAACAAAACAGAAAACTGAACACTTAAATACCTAGTTGTACGTTCTTGTTTTTAGATAGAAACTAGAACTGTTAATATTTTTGTGTATTTAAATGAGTAGTTATTTTAAAATGGTGTCTAAAAGGAGTTTAAAAATTCATTTGTCTTCTAAACACATGTCAGTGCTGACTAAAGGTGCTTACCATCAGTTTTTGAGAACTGTGTTAACATATTTAAATGTGTAATTCTTTGTAAATGTACCAGATCTTAAAAACAAGTGTATAAAAAGTCAGTATCTATATTTGGAATTCTCTTAACAACTCCACAGCAAAATTTGACAAACGTTCTTTAGTTCTTGTATTACAAGATGTAGTATCTGCAGTAGTAGGCTGGACATTTAAAATAAGCTGTTAGAAATTCATAATCAGTGGTTGGCTTGTTTCTTTGTAGTTTTCATGTTCCAAACTTGGAAGTAAACTTTGTATATACAGCAGTAGATTACAGATAAAGAGCTACAGCAGACTGTGCTCAGGAGCCATTTTCTATGTAAGCAGCTAGTGGACTTCGAAAGCTTTAACCTCTCATGCAAAGTAACTGTTTCCTAGCCACCACAGGAGCAATAGGAAACATAAGCTTTGGGGTCTGGTCCTGCACTGACATGCTTCATCTCTATATCCTGTCAGGCTATGTACTTAATCATGTGGGTATGAGGCCGTGCTTACTTTATACCAGGTTTGTAAAGAGATTTTTAAATGTGTGTATATATTGTAACTTAATGTACAGTGTTCTTGTTATATGTAATTTTTATATTAAAAATTCTGGTTTTGTTCTTATGTGTTACTCTTTGAAAATATGCTTCTTCTAGAGATAATGAAAGTTGTGTTCACCTTAAAAATAAGATGGTGGTAAATGCTTTAGTACCTGAGAATTTTAACTAGAGATTTATGGCAGGTTGAAGCCTGATTGCTTTTAACGATTAGCTACCACTAGCATATGCATACATGCTATATATATATATATCTGCATATATATGTATATGCTAGTAGATATATCTATATCTTCACACACACATATATGAAATGGCTTGATGGATAAGGTCCAAGTGTGGTGCCCTGAGTTCAATCCCCCAAAACAGATGTAAATGTGGAAGAAGCCAGCCCCACAGAGCTGTCCTATAGCCTCCACACATGTATGCCCATACAATAATACGTCACAAAACAAAAATCTAAAGGCTGGCAATATGGCTCAGCAGGCAAAGCCACTTGCCATTAAGGCTGATCACACTGATTTAGATTCCCTGAACCCAAAGGAAGGGTGTACTGACTGCTTCAGGTGTTCTCTGGCCATCTCTAGCTATGTGTGACGTGGAACTTACACAGCTACATACATGTGTAATAAAAAGTGTTACCAAAGTTGTAGAGCAGCATGTATGAAAAGATACAAGTACATTTTGGCTCTACATTTGATATAATAATATTTTCAAGCACTGCTTCATATATTTAGAGTATTAACAGGATTATGTTATTAAAAGAGAAAGAAAGATCATTATCCTTTGTCCTTCTTGCTTTTTCTGCTCTGCCTTATCTTTAGAACAACAGAAAATCTTGGGCTTGGGAGATGCCTCAGTTGATCAAGTACTTGCCATAGGTGTGAGGATTGGAATTCAGCTCCCCATAACACACACACACCATACATATAATAGTAAAAGTAACAAAAGGAAGAAAACCTAATTCAGAGCATGCATAAAAAGTAAAGATGCCCCAGCACTCGGGAGGCAGAGGCAGGCGGATCTCTGTGAGTTCAAGGCCAGCCTGGTCTACAAAGTGAGTTCCAGGACAGCCTCCAAAGCTACAGAGAAACCCTGTCTCAAAAAACCAAAAAAAAAAAAAAAAATGAAGATGGCCAGAGAGAAACTAAGGGAGAAAAACCCTGTCTCAAAAAAAGAAAAACTTAAGGGAGAAGAGGGAGAGGAAGAGAAGAAAGGAGTCAAAGCAAGTATAGTAAAATATGTGTATGGACTGAAATGAAAACTCTTAAACCCAGTTATCAACTGATTGAAAACCTTTGCTAGAGTCTGCATTATGAATGAAACTACTGTTCACCTGCTCTTTTTATTTCTGCACCGTGCACAGATGAGGGAGGGTGTTGCAGGTTACCCTGCTTGGACACCCCTTAGAGGAGGGGGGGTGAGAAGACACAGGAACTGAGAGTCAGTGAGGAGCAGAGCATGCTGCAGAGTCATTTATTAAGGAAGTCAGACCTGCCTTTATACCCCTCCCAAGGTCCTGTTGGCTCAGGCAGCTGACTCTGCTGCGCTGTCCTTTCCTCATTGACGTCTCTGGGTCAGGTGTCTCTTCGTCAGCAGTCTCTGGGTGTAGAGGCAGGTTTGGCTCAGAGAGGAAGTGCCTGCCGTGCATGCTCATACAGACTGGCCTGGTCACCTGGGCAGGGCGACTCTGACTTGGGTAGGCTGGCTGAAGTTTCTCCTACAGGTGGGTGTAAGCTTGGATGGTCAGAAAGCTAGACCTCAAATGGACATACTTTGGGCACAGGTCATTTTTTAAAATCCATATAGATAGAATTTTAAAATATTTATGTGTATATATGTGAACCTGAGTGTGTGCATGTACACCACATGCACCATGGGCAAAGGTCAGAAGAGACCATCAGGTATCCTGGAACTGTAGTTACAGGTGTCTGTGAGCCCATGTATGAGCTGGGAACAAAACACCAAGTCTCAGTCAGAGTAGCAAGTGTTCTTAACCACTGAGCTATCTCTCTAGTCCCCATTTATAAATACTTTTTAAAATTTGCCATGTGGTGGTGGTACCTGCCTTTAATGCTAGCACTTGGGAGGTGGGGGCAGGAGGATCTCTGTGAATTTGAGGTCAGCCTGGACTACAGAGTTCCAGGTCAGCTGGGGCTGCACAAAGAAACCCTGTCTCAAAAAACCAATATGTGTGTGTGTGTGTGTGTCTGTGTGTGTGTGTGTCTGTGTGTCTGTGTATCTGTGTGTGTGACTTAGTGCACATGGGTATCCAGGTGGAAGTAAGTATAGATAAAGTCCAAAAAAAAAAAAAAAACTAGAAAGGAGTCCCTGAGACTGGAAAAAAGGAAGCTTTAAAGAGGGGCAGGGAAGACAATAGAACACTATTGAAGTGGGGACTCTGGAGACCAAAGGGTGGGAAGAGTGGGCAGGAAGACGAGAGGAAGGAGAGGGGGAAGCCAACCAAATGAATATATAGGAAACTCCTATTCTTATTACTTTGTAAGCAAATTTGTAAAAATAAAACCTAAGTGCTGGAGGGGTGACTCTGGTTAAGAGTATATACTGCCCTTGTAGATACGAGTTCAGGTCCCAGCACCCACATGGCAGGCAGCTCACAGCTATCCACAACTTCAGTTCCAGGTTATCTGATGCCTTTGGACCTCCAACGTCTGAGGGCACATTGACCACAGGCATACATGCAGGCAAAAGGCACACTTATAAATAATCTAAAATATTTTAAGTAAACATCTTTTAAATCTTTAAAAAATAAAATCTTTTCAGATTAGGAGGCTGGCGAGGATGGTTCAGTGGTTAAGAGCACTGGCTGCTCTTCCAAAGGACCCCAGTTCAATTCCCAGCATGAACATGATGGCTCAAAATTGTAACTTCCATTCCACGGGATCTAATGTCCTCTTCTGGTCTTCGTAGGCACCAGACACTCAAGTGGTGCACAGGCATATGCAGGCAGAGTAGTCGTATACATAAAATAAGATGAAATATTTCAATGTAAAAAATTCTCAAGCTATCCGGGTGGTGGTGGTGCACACCTTTAATCCCAGCACTCGGGAGGCAGATGCAGGCGGATATCTGTGAGTTCGAGACCAGCCTGGTCTACCGAGCGAATTCCAGGACAGGCTCCAAAACAATACAGAGAAACCCTGTCTCGAAAAACAAACAAACAAACAAAAATTCTCAAGCTAGTAGTGATGTCACTTGCCTTTAATCTTAGCACTTGGTAGAGGCAGGCATTCTTTCTGAGTTCAAGGCCAGCAAGTTCCCCGCTAGCCAAGCCTACACAATGATACCCTTTCTGAAAGACAAAAGCAAATACAAAAAACAAACAAAAATATTTAAAAGGAAAAAAGAAAAAAAAGTCAAATACCAGGATTGGTATTGCTCACCTTTAATCCCAGCACTCAGGAGACAGAGGCAGGCAGATCTCTATGAGTTCGAGACCAGCCTGGTCTACAGAGCAAGTTCCAGGACAGCCTCCAAAGTAATACAGTGAAACCCTGTCTTGAAATGGGACACTGCCCAGTGATGGAGCACTGCCTAACATGTGCAAAATCCCTGGGTTCAATTCCTAACACCGCAAGCTAGAAATAATCAAAAGATAATGGGAAGAACAAGAAAAACAAATGAAATCTTTTTCCTAGTAGCTATAGAACAACGTGTGGCTATTAACTGTGGTAGTGAACACAGAAGCTAGAGAGCTTTGCTCATTTCTTTAAAACCTCTGAAGGCTGTATAGATGATGAAAAGAGGACGAATTTCATTTAGTTACAACTTTTAGCTATGTGCTATTTTTATTTTTCCCAAGTGTATCTTGAAATATTGTATCAGGTAATTCCTTTGATTCTTTCTGTACCCTGCAGCTAGGAGTATTTTCATAGGAAGTAAGCTGTTATAGAAAAATGCATCAGTGAATGCCGGTGGACACATGGTTTGAGATCTGCAGTGACTCTGAGTTAGCAGGGGGAACAGAGAGCAAGTCCCAGCACTCACTTAGCTGAGTGGCCCTAAGATCCACTTTCACGCCTGCCTCTCCAGTCCTTCATGTACAGCAAGGGTGAATGTTGGCGGAGTTTCTCTCCACCTCAGCAGCTGCTCCCAAATAACCATTCAGAGACTTACTATTAATTATAAATGTTCAGCCCATAGCTAGTGTTGGTTACTGGCCAAGTCTTACATTTTAAATTAGCCCATATTTCTTTCTTTCTTTTTAATGAACCCATATTTCTTATCTACCCTCTGCCACGTGGCTGTACCTTCTTTCTTTCTTTTTTTTCTTTTTGGGTTTTCAAGACAGGGTTTTTCTGTGGCTTTGGAGGATGTCCTGGAACTCGCTCTTGTAGTCCAGGTTGGGCTGTACCTTTTTTCAACACGGCACGTTCATCTTGCTTCTCTCCGAGTCTCTCTGGACTCCCAAGACTCTATCCTTCTTCCTCCCAGTGTCCTTTGTCTGACTGTCACACTTATACCTCCTGCCTAGCTACAGGCCAGTCAGCTCTTTTATTAAATCAACCAGAAGGTGCTTTGGCAAAGACACATCTTCACAGTGTACAAAAAGATTATTCTATAACAGGTGAATGGATAGTCCTGTCTACCTTCAAAATCTAAGCTTTTTCTGCAATGTCTTCATTCTGTGATACTTGTAATCTGTGGAAAGCGTCCCCTTACACCCCAGTTTTAATTATTTTTTGTGTCAAAATTTGTTCATAGAAGAATTCTGATTCATACTTTAGTACCAGGACAAATTCTGTTACCTTTCTGTACCTTTACATTTGATGATATATGAATTGTATTGGTTCCACTTGTTTAATTGTGGCAATTTTCAGGATGTCAAGGACAAAGGGAAAGGAACTGACATCAACTACCATGTATGTTAGTTAGACATATATGTCTCTAATGTTCTCTAAATATACTACATGTTGAATATATCCTGTAAAGCATGATGCTTTAAAATAATTGTCATTCAGTCAGTGTCTATAATGACTGTGTAAAGTGCAGTTTCAACCGTCATTGTATAAATGAAGAACTGAAGCTGGCCATTGCAGTGTGAGA